AGACTGCAAACGCTGGGCACATATTAAGAGCTACCAAATGGTTAGAGCATGTTCATGCTTCCTGGCCAAGAGCACACTGACACGGTGAGCTCAGGCCCGTTCCCCAGGACTCTACAAGCAAGCAAGTTCCCATTTGGCCAGTGCACGCTGTGTCTGGAGCTTTGTAAGTGAAAAGTTCTATTTTGTATTCCAGGACCTTCAGCAAAGCTGCATAGTGTGACTTAAGGATGGGTTAGAACTGACAAGCGGAGATGGAAGGACACCCCTTGTCATTGATTTCAGTGGCTTGGATTGGGAGGATGTTACTCAACTCAGTGTACAAACCCCAGAGCTCATCTTCCTAGAATAAGACCAAATAAACAAATTAATTCAAAGCAAATCTGCCTCCTCCCCACATATTGAAGTGTTTTGCCAACAGGATCCCAGTGGGATTTTTTTTCCTCCACTATTGCCAGGGACGGAGCAGTGTTCCTCCTCCATTTTCCCGTTGTGAGGTTGGCACTGCCCTCTGCAGTGAGCACACACACTATCCACTTTTCCTCCTAACTATGCCAATGATTTATTTTTAAACCCATGTTCATGTGCTCTTGTTTTCTCAAAAAAAKCTAATGATCCCAGGAGTCGCAGGAGCTGTCCGTAAAGCCAAGGAGGTGGAATTACTTTATACAGGCAATGCATAGAGCCTAGCCAAGCCCAGCTGATTGAATGTAGCATCCTCTCTTCCTTGAGGATAGAGCTGGTGGGAGTATTTTGAAGCACAAGAGCTGCTGATATTTCTCTGTCTTTAAGCAGTTGGTCTCCCTTGTCTAGTGACCCTTCAAAACCCAGRGCTGAAGTTGCTCTGCATGGATCTTGGAAGGAAGTATTACCAACGAACCTTGTGCTCTTTTCCTGGTCCCTTCATACCTGAATGACCTTTAGCAGTGTTCCTCTCTGAGCAGGTTATCAACCTTCCAGCTGCAAAGTCGGCTGTCTGCCCCGCAGTGCGGGTGATGCGAGCTGCTCTTCTGAGGATGTGTTTGCTCCCAGCAGCTCCGCTCCCTCGGCTGCAGGCTCGCCTAYGGACAGAACCGACTGGCTTCTGAGTGTCTAGAGCAGGGGCCTCTGTCTGTGGAATAAATGTGTTTGTACCTAGGCTCCTACAGCACAGGGTCAGAAATGATCAGCAGAACAACAGATAATCTAAAATGACCTCTGGGATAGCACAGATTATTAATCTTCACTTAGTTATATTTGTACTGCTCTGATGGTGTCTCATCTCTCAGCCAGACACTTTCTTTTCCTGAACTGACAGTCTCAGAAGTTGGGGAATCCACTGCATCGGGTATCTTCTCTTCCAGTAGGAAAACAGCTGTATTGATAAAAGTGTGTATGATTTCTAATGATTTCTAATATACGGAATCATTTGGCTTCAGTGAGCAGATGTCATCTTACGTCTTGCCTTTGCTAGATCACAAAGCTCTTTCCCCAACCTGGTATTTTGTTCCTGTGTAGATACCTGTGCCCTGTAATCAGATCACCTCTTCATCTTTTTTTTTTTTTTTTTTTTTTTTTTTTTACTAAATTAAAGAGATTGAACACTTATATCTCTCACAGAAAAGCATTTTCAACCTGCCATTAAATTATTTTTGTCATTTCTTTCTGTATTCTTTCCATTTTTTTCAACATCCCTTAGAAAATGGCACACAGTATACATCAGAATTAGATGTGCTATTTTTGTTTATATGCGGTCTGCTGTAGAGAGATAAAAAATGCTTCCCTTTTCCTGGAGAGTGTTTCACGACTCTGATGTGGGGTTATTGCATTGACAGTTCATATTTAATTGCTTGTCATTAGCCCCGAAATCTTTTCAGAATTGCTGGTTTCCAGGATGCTCTGCCTCAGTCTGCAGCTGCTGCCTGCATTCTTTCTTCCTAAAAGTGTAATTTTGCATTTGGCTACATTAAAATCCCATATTGCTTGGATGGGTTTGCCCTACAAAGTGATCCAAAGTGCTCTGTGTACAATTGCTTGTTCTCATCACAATACACCACATTGCAAATTCTTGTGTCAGCAGCACACGTTATCAATGTCGATCATATGTTTATTTCGAAACAAAAATATTTTTTTCCAGATGAAATTGTTGACTCGTGCCAGGCCTCGTCGTGCCAGGCCTCATGCTGATCCTCTGGAACCCATATAATGCACTCCTCGGGGACAACTGCTTCTTGTGTGCTGTCATATAGCCAGTTTGTTATTCATTTCACATGTGCCTGATTGACATTGTACTGCCATGTTTATTTTTTTATCAGATTGTTATGGGCTCCAAGGCGTATGTAATTCTGTCAAATGATGCAAATGGGTTCATTTGACAAGAACAGTTCTCACAGACCTTGTTGGCTTTGCCTCATCTATATCTGCCTCTCCTTTAGGGCCCAATTYATTGACCAATGCATCAACTGTTCTGTTATTTTGTTCAAGGCTGATTTCTGGATCACTGACAGACAGTTACCTTGTATATCAAGCTTGACTTGTTTGAATACCACCGCTGAATTAACTCCCTTTCCATCTCCACCTACCATTCCAGATCTTACCATTATTCCAAGACATCAAGCCAGGAATGTCAGTGAGCCAGAGCTGCTGTCAGCCAATTCTTATTGGACCATCCAGTCCTACTGATTTTGGAAATCTCTGTTCTCAGTAGAYACTGTAACACCTCCTTTGTGCTGGCTGATAGTAAAATGGTAAAAGACATAAAATGGGATGGATCTCTCTGGACACTTCTGTGGCCTCAGCCATTGGGTCAGAGGTAGAGGTGTTGGCATGGACAGCGTAAGCAGAGGACTGGTTGATGTTTACGTTCAATTGCAATGAAATACTAGGCTGGGACTTTCAAAGAAACTCAAGAGGTGAATAGGCAGCTAAGCTGCTTTGGACCTTTGTGCACGAAAACCTTGCTCCTTGCAGGTAGTATAGGCAAGAATGAGGGAGACGTTTCCTGATAAGAGCTGAACACCTTGAGAGGTTGAATGTTGCCAGCCAGCAAAAGGAAGTGGGTGCAATAGGGCAGAATGTGCGGGTGTGTGGGTTTAATGCAAAGACCTCTGTGTAGGGATCTACATGCTCTTAACACAGACTGTAAGAAGTGTGATCTTGTGAGATGCCTTATACATGTTTAGTCCCTGGAAAACACCCCAGGCCAGGAATGTAATTTCTGCAGAAAGTTGTAACTGCACTTGCAGGAGTGAGATCTTAGTCATTTTCTCTTCTTGTGACTCTTCTGGGCCATGTGTAATTTATTTGCTTGGCCTGGCTTCTCTTCTGGCTGCCTCTTTTTTTTTCAGTGCTCTGTTAGGGCTGGACGTATAGGCCCAGAGGAAGTTCCCACTATGAGAACTTTCTTCATCACAATTCTTCCTGATATGGACACAGTCCTTCCTAGTCCTGGAGTCACAGTAGTCATTCCTGGAGGCACAGAGTTTTCTTAGTGATAGGAGAGAATGATTTTAATATCATGATTCACTTCTGAGGGCACCCAGCAGGGCTGAGTACACTAGACCAGCCTGCTCCCCGCAGCAGCCTGGAGTTGAGCCAACTCTGCCACACTCATCAATGCTGCCCATCTTACAAGACAAACAAATCATGCAAGTTCATGGTTTTCTGACTAGCTCAGAGGCAGCTCTGACCTTGACATCATTGTTTATCAGCTTTTCTAATGCTTGTCACTGAGACGTTTGGTTTACAGCCAACTCAAACTACAAGTTACTGAATTGTAACCGTGTGCTTGAACTACCTGTTTTCAACACCAAAAACCTAGTAGTTTAAAAGTGATAAATGGGCTCCAGAGTAATAGGCCTGGACTGCTCCATTCAGAGCAAACTGTCCTGATGATGCCTGAAGMTCATTTTGAGGCAAGCAGACATCTTACCTGATGCACCTTTGCTAGAAAGCAGGAGAGTGCTGCATTGCGTTTCCTGGTGCACAAACTGGAACTGAGGCAACTCTCAGGGCTTTAGGGCAATGAGAGGATTGCACTCATGTTGTAGAGGAGGCTGATCAGTGTGTGCTCCTTTCCGTGCTCCCTGCCTCCACAAGGCAGGCACGTGCATGTGCACAGATGTGGGAGAGAGACCAGGAGTCACTGTCTCCTTTGAGTGTTCCCAGGCTGCCTGGCTTCAAAGGAAGGGGAAGAGATAAGCACCATCATTAATAGAGGCATTTAGGGCTTTTGTGTGAATGTGTTAGACAGGAAAGTGAGCAGCTCTTGAGCAGGATGGCACTATTGGCAGAGGTCCTGCATGGCAGGCAGGATGTCCCTGTGTTGCAGCAGCCTGATGTGACCATAAAGAGAGGGTGTTTTTAGTGAGCCCTGTATCCCGCCAGGCTGCAGCACGCTGTGGTCTCAGTTGTGTGCCAGAACAGACAACAGCCTCTGCTGTGCTGCTGCAGTCACCTCATCACATGGGACTGTGATGAGCTGACTGYAGAGAGCTGGCATGTCTGGCACGGCGTGTGCCCGATGCCAAAGGCTCTGCAGGGAGAGAGGGAAGCTGGTGTCCGCTCTGCTGCTCAGGCTGGGCTGGTGCTTTTGCTGGGATTTTACCAAGGGGAGAAAAGTTTAGCCAGTGCATTATTATGGAGAAGTCCTTTTGGTGACAAGTCCGTCAGCTTTGCACCGTCTTGGGAAGCTGATGAGCTGATGCTATCTTGAAGAGGGCAGAGAGCGAGGCAAGGCAGGCCTTCTGGGAGACTGATGGGAGAAGGAGGAAGAGAGAGAGGGTCACAGCCCTGCAGTAAGGAGCTGTCCTGAAAGCAGCCTGATTGTGATACCTGAAAATGGGTGAAGAGTTGGACCTTGTTCATGCAGGCAAAGCTTGGCATCAAGATGGTGGACCAGGTAGCCTGCAACTGAAGGTTGTCACAGTGCCTCCCATTAGACAGGCACTGTGATCAACACAGTTACTAGTGAGTAGTGAGAAATATTGATTCCTTATTGATTCCTTTTTTTTTCTCTTCCACAGCACTCAGAGCAGAATTGGCTCTCCTGTCTCCCCCCAGCACACGGGGCCTTCACGAACTGTCCGGCGGTACCCAGACAGCAAYGGTCACCTTGTGTCTAATGCACTCCCTGGAGGAAATGGCTATGAGCAGAGCAGCTCTGGAGCACAGGCAGTTTCCCAGGAGCACGCAAGGGGTAAGGCCTCCAAGGCTGTCTGTCTTTTGGGGGCTTCATGTTGGGTTCTCCTAGGGAAGGGCACTGATGTGAGTGGGGATGTCACAGTTGCTTGCCGTAGCAAGCAAACTCCTAAAAGGCAGTGGTCACTTCTGTAGCCCCTTGGAGGTGGAGAGGAAAGAGGAAAGCCCAGCTCCCAAGGGGAGAAGGCAGCACCACAGAGAAGAATTAAGGACTGAGGAAAGGACAGTAATCATGATCTTGCTGAGATGGCTTACTGCAGCCTGCTGTGAACTGCAGAGTCAGGGCAACAAAGGGCATCTGGACTTCCAGAGAGTGAAACTGGGCAGGGAGGAAAGGGAAGGTCAATGTACACATTGCTGAGTTTGAGGAAGAAGGAGACCCCACTAAAGGAGGGGACAGCAGGAGAGCAAAATGCTGATGCCAGGAAAGAGAAGGCATGAGCCCCATGTGAGGCATGAGCCTCCCAGAGGTGTACAACGTCACCTCAGCACATTGCTCTCATTGGGAATTTCCTCAGTCTGTAGAAATGGTATCTCTCAACATCTCGATCTTTTTCAAATGCCCCTGAGTCAACTTGTGTAACAAGCATCTAGTTTTTCCCCTTGACTGCCCCCTTTGTGCCTTCTGACATGAGCAGGGATCAAGCCAGGGTGCTGGAACACGTGGTTTCTGAGACAGAGTCTCAGTAGCTCCCCAGCAAGGACAGATGAAAACTCTCTTCTGCAGCTTGGCTGTCCCTGAGGCCTTGGTTCCTGAAGGAGAGGCATGGCCTCGTGTGGCATCTCAGCCCTTATGAGTAGAGCTGTGAGCCTGATTAAAGTTGTAAACTGAAAGTAGCGGATGAAATGGGAAGCATGTGTATGTGGCAGGGATGAGAGCACAGTAAGGGGGGCACCCGCAGATGCTGCTGTCTTGAAGGACAGGGATAGAAGGCTCTGGTGTTGAGCAAGCTAGTTCGTGTTTATGCAACATGAATGCTTGTCCATTTTCCTCAAGCCTTCAAATTCTCTGAGTGCAATTTCTCTTTTAGCTAATGGGAGGGTGGTGAGGAAATGAGGGGAGGTGATTGAAGAGGTCAGGGGATGTTTGCAAAGAGATATTTATTTCTCTCTGAGAGGAACAGAGGCCAGATGCTCTCTTTATTGGATACCAGCTTGGCTGTCTTTGTGGGAAGTCTTTTAGTKGTGTAAAGACATCCAAGCTCCAGGCTATGTAAGTGGATTGAGAAGGAATATTGCCTAAATCAGAAAAATACCCTTTTATACTGGAATTAGTGCATGTCTCTCTTCATAAGGAGTTGCCAGTCTAACTGAGAACACAGCGCGTGTTGCTGGTGGTTTCCCACACTTGAACAAGCCCTTAACGATGCTGGAGCAGAGGATGAGGCAGGAGTGGTCAAGGGGCAAGAAGAGGCATTGCCCAGGGCTGTGGTCCCAGATCCCTCCCTGCCCTGGGAATGCTTTGGAGACAGAGATGCAGATTACCCACTCCCTGTCCTGGAGAATCTGCTTCCATTCAACACTGGAACACTTCACAGGGGCCAACCTGACAGAGAAGATTAGGAAAATAAAGATTGTCTTCACACCCACCATCTGCAAACAGACATGCCGGAGTGGGCGCTGCTACAACAGCTGTGAGAAGGGAGACACCACCACTCTTTACAGCCAAGGGGGGCACAACCATGATCCCAAGTCTGGCTTCCGCATCTGTGAGTACCCCCAGCCTGTCTCATTGCCTAGTCTCCCACCATCCTCCTYCAGCCTTTTGTGTCTTGTTACAGCCTGAGAGCTAGAGTTAGTATGAGGATGGGAAGGGATAAATAGAAGAAGGTATCTCCTGGAGCCTTTAGGGCTTACTCCACCTCTCTCCCTGGAGCAGCAAGACAGACCTTGCCTCATTACCCTCTTTCCTGGGCAGGCAATTTCAGTTTCCATCCCACCCTAGGTAGGGGGAACATGTGTGTGTTTCACTCAGGCCTGCAGCCAGGGCTCACCTCCCCCTCCTTCTCAGAGCCAGCTCACTGCTTTCATTGGCATTCAGTCTTGGGGCTGACTTTCATCACCTAATTTCCTCCTGTTCTCTCTTTTCATTCACGTGGCAGCCAGGAGAGTTGGCTGCAGCGAGCTGTTTCTACAAACAGGCCTGCTGAAACCTCTCCTCACCTTGTAGAGCTGCTGGGATTGCCTTTTAGGTCACTGTGATACCTGCTGGGTGGGGCACATCCTTTTGGAGCCAGTCAGTGAGAGCAGCCCACAGGACCATGGTAGGACTCATTCTCTGAAAACTTCTGTAACTCTCTGACACTGAGAGTATGAAGAAAAGTCTGGTTGTGGTGCAGACTGAGTGATAAGAGGTTCTAGGAATTGGTGTCTAGATCTCAATCCAGTGTCTGATCATCCCTCCAGCCTGATTGCTGAGCTTGAGCAAAGGAGCTCCAGGCAGGTGGGAGTTCATACCCTGAGCTGAATCTGAAAAGCCATTCTGGGATGTGCAGCAGCAATGCTTCATCTCAGGCTGAAATGAAAGGATGGCCATGGACAGGTCTCAGSATGACCCGCCAGGAAATCCTGTACCTTGCCTGAGTGCCATTTACATTGAGAGAGATGCTGGTTACTCCAAACATCTCTTGAGACCAGAGAAGACTTCACCTTCATTTGTGGGTGCTTTTTCTGATTCCATGCTCCTGATTCTTCTTCAACACCTTCAGCTGCTGAGGGAGAGGCTCTGCATATACAGTGCTCTGCCTGTTCTCGTTCTGCCTCTCCCTCCCCACTGGCCTCTCTTCTGGGCTGGGAGTAAAAAAGGCTTCATGCCAAATGAAGAAGGGGCATAGAAGCCCTTCATGCCAAATGAAGAAGGGGCATAGAAGCCCTTCATGCCAAGAAAAGGTGTTCTGCTGACTCAGCCTTGTGTTGCTGCCATAGCTCCTGCTCCAGGGGATCCTGCTGGTGCCTGCATTTTACCTTGGCTCTGTGGGGTTGCCCTGCAGGGCATGGGTGCCTCGTGCTGGCCATGGTCCCAGAGACCAAGCGAGAGCTAATCCTCTTCAACTCATGACTCCAGGCCATGTTACAGCTCAGGGAGAGCTCTGGCTTCTCCGCTTGCTGCCTGCTGCTTAGTGAAACCCAGCAGAGCTGCTAGCCTTGCCTCCAGGCTGCTTACTGCAAATGCAGAGCCTGGCTTAGTCCTGGGTCTACTTATTAGGTCTTACAGGGTTAGTGCCAGGCCACCTCCATCTGTCCAGCCTCCCACAGCCATTCATGAGCTGGAGGCAGCAGCTCAGATTCCTTGCTATGTGGGCCTCTTTTTGCCTTGCAGATTTCTGCCAGATCCCCTGCCTGAATGGAGGACGTTGTGTAGGCCGGGATGAATGCTGGTGCCCCTCTAATTCCACGGGGAAGTTTTGCCACCTGCCAGCTTCCACTCTGGGAAAGAAGAAAGCAGGGAGAGTGCCAAACACCATGTCCAGCAGCTCCATGAAGCACTCCACATACACACTGCCCCTGTCGAACCAGTTGGGTGAGTGTGGTTGGGCCTCCAAACCCTGGTTTCTCAGCGTGTAGAGGTGCCTGTCCTAGAGAAGAGTCCTGCAACTGATGTCTTGTGCTTACAAAGCCAAAGTCCAACCCTCATGCCCTGGACACTGCAAGGTTGTTCAGGCAGCGAGTATGGGAATTAGGGATTTCAGGAGGGATGCTACGGGGCTGAAAGATGAGCAAGGAATAGGACTAGCCCTGRCCCAGGTGAGACAAAGCAATGATGTGTCGGAAAATCCTTTTGAATTTCTGAATTCTCTGTCGGAATTAGATTAAAATACCRCTCCAACCACTGTTTCCTATGACARTGGCTCTCCACTGATGCTAGTTTTCTCTGCTAGGAGCCAAGACTTCCCTTATTCTTCTGAATCTGCCTGTCTGGCTACTCCTCAGAATTTCAGGGGAGCACCAATAGTTTGGTCAGTGGCTCCCTATGTTTACCTTATCAGGCTAGGTTATTAGCAAAACAGCTCCCTTAGTTTCTGAAGGGCTCTTCTTCTGTAGGTTGCTGGAGAAAGCTTTTGATATGTTTGTCCTGTTAGTAGGCCAGGTAAGTGTTTTGTCTCAAACATAGTCTTCCTCTAGATTTCCCAGTGGTAACAGTCTACTTCTCTCCCCTCATGACTTTGGACAAGATGCTCTTCATGTGCCCAATTGTAACTGGAGTGCCAAAACATTGGTATAAACTCCTTTTTCAGCTTCCTTAAACCCTTCCCTGGTGAATGTGCACATCAACCACCCTCCAGAGGCCACCGTGCAGATTCACCAGGTGGCCAGGGTGCGGGGCGACGCAGAGCTGTCTGAGGAGAACAGCGTGGAGGCAGTGGTGGTGCCTCCGCTGGCCGCAGTGCCGTGGTACGCCTACACCAACGGGAATGGCAACAGCATTGGCACGGAGAGCAAGCAGCAGCAGAGGCCTCCGGATGTGATGGGGAGGTGCTTTCGGGAGGCTCTCCACGGACAGGTAAGGGGACACCTGTAAAGGGAGGTCTGCAGGAGGATCCATGTGTTGTTCTGGGGTGGAGGTTCGTTTGCACATGGGGCAGCGAGCGTGGCCTTGCTTTGCATGAAAGTGCTCGGCACATCTGACTGGTGTGTGGGTAGCACCACGTGTTGTGGGCATGGGGTATGGGAAGGCAAACCACGCTGTCTTGCCCTGAGAAGGCTGTGCCCTGGGGCAGCATAGCCCAGACTTGATAGCTTTCACACACAGTCTCATTTGAAAAGGGTGCCCTATTTATAGAAACATTTACAGCCACAATTTGTGATTATTGTAGGAAACGTATAAAACATAGGAAAATTCCTTTCCCTCTCACACAATAAATGAAAGTCTGATTTCCATGGAACGTTGCCTTCCTGGGCAGCTTGGTCAGTATTTGGGAAGCAGATGCACGTGAGGGGCTTTCTCACCCCTGGCTCACAGTCATAATTTCTTATTTTGTCTTTCCCCATATGTTTCTGTTGCGTCACTGGAAAAGTATCGGAGGTTTCTGGCACCCACAAGAACACCTGTGAATTCCTCCAGAGCAGCTTGCTCTCCATGAGACCCCCAGTTGGGCAGCTTGAGACTCTGCCTCCTTTTCATTGCACAGAAAGCTCAGCCCTTTTCCAGGACTGCTCCTGGTTCCGTTCCCATCCAGGACATTTTTAGCTGGATAAAATCTTAGCAATTCCCTAGCACAAAAATAAATGAGATCAGGCCCTAAACATCTCACAAAGGGGCTGGAAAAGCCCTGTCCCTCTGTGAGGAGACAAGAGCTCCCTGACCCTTGGAGCAGGTTTGCCTTCCAAAAGGCCAGCTTAAAGAGGCACTTAGAAGCATTTAATCTTCTCCAGCATTTCCAGAGCGCTGTTGGTGAAGCTCTTGGAAGGGACAAAGGGGGAGGAAGGATGCCCTTGCTGTACTCACACCTTTTTTTAGCTCTTTCTGGGTCTGTGGCCGAGGAGACTGGGTGACGGCGAGGAGCCCAGGCGGGAAGTGTTTGTCTCTTCCCTCTCAGCCTGAAGCCAAGCTGATTGGAATGTGAGCACTGGGCACACGGCCATTTCTCATATGGATGAGGGCCAGATTTGGCCTGCGGGCTGCGACAGCTCAGCTCTAATGGGGAAGCCTGTAATCCAGAGGGCCTTGCCGGGGGGAAGAGAGACACATTGAGCAAGCGAAAGGGCCTGGCCGCGAGTTCCCCGCAGGGCTGGAATGGTGCACCCATTTTCTGGCTAGTCAGTGTGTGGCTAAGAGCAGGCACTAGGCTGATCCTAGGGCTTTGCTGGGTGATATCATCTCTGATCCATGTTCTGCACTGTTTGATGTCCTCCTCCTCTCCTCCAAAGGGGTGCAGCCAAGGGAGTTTCGTGCTTTTCTGTCTGTAGAACTGTTTACTGTCTTAAACTGTATCCCTGATCCTGCTGTGTCCCTGTGGGGAGTGGTGCTGGGAGAACTGTGTTCGCTTCTAACCCCATGCCATAGTCCCCCATGCTGACTTGTAAACAACCACGGCTGCCTTCCYCCTCCTGCAGTACCTGCAAAGGGCAGGTGCTTGGTCCTCTGCCTGTCACAGAGAAGCCTGAACCCTCTGGTCCTCTCTCTGCAGTGCGCTAACCCTCTACCAGGGCTGACCAAGCTGGAGGATTGTTGTGGCAGCGTGGGGCTCTTCTGGGGTGTGGACAGGTGCCTAGCCTGCCCCCCTCGACCAGGTAAGTGCTTCTGCAGGGAAAGGTTCTCTCTGTAAAAGGCACCGAGGAACTGCCTGCAACCTCTGCAGGCAAAAGAGATCCAGCCAGGGCCAACAGGCTGCTTCAAAGAGATGAGGAAGCACAAAGCAGGGCTGTACATCCCAGGTGCTGTGGAATGCAGGTGTCTTCTTCCTGAGGTTCTCAGAGGAGGAGAGCATGTCTAACATGGCATGCAGAGTGCTGTCTGCTCTGGTCTGGACTCAGCCCACGCACCAGGGAGGAATGGTCTGGTTTGGGTGCTGGCTCCAAGCTCAGCACTTTCTCCACAAACTGCCTCTGTAAAACCCCAGTGCAGCCAGTGGTTTGATCCATGCCAGATCCATTAGGAGGGAGAAACAGGAAAACAACGGCCGTGGTTTTAGGAGGTGCAGTCCTAGATTAGTTGAGGAGGCTGCAGACTTGGCCCTATAGAATTACGGCCCTGTTCTAGGCCCAACACGGGCTTGGCAGGGGCTTTGGAAATAACACTACATCAAACAATTGGCAGGAGTGCACCCAGAGTCCATTCCAGGGGCACAGCAATCCAGCTCTATTTCTTCTGCTCTCAGGAGCTGGACAGAGTGATGCAGCCCAGAGACAGGGGATTCCTCAGCGGCTTCGCCTGGGGCGTTAGGCCGTCACCATGGTGGGCCTGCCTTGGGATGCTCCAAGATTAAGACCCCATCTTGAGCAGGAAGAGCAATTTGGTGATTCCAGTGCTGTCTGGGGCATCCGCTCCACAGCCCTTTTCCTGGGCAGGCACAGCCATGCAGTAGATCCCAGGTTCAAAGCCTGGAGAGAATGGCTGGGAGGTGGAGGACATTGTGGGTGCAGAAAGGCCATTCTGGCAAGATGTGTTCCAAATGAGGAGAAGGTGGTGAGATGCCAAAAGACGGAAGGAGGGACGAGCTAGACCATGGCACCCTGGGAGTCATGGTCTAGTTTGTCCCTCTTTCAGTCTTCTTCAACAACAGTGTGGAATTGGTAGCTCTGGATGAGCCAGCAGKCAGGCAACATGGGCTGAGGGAGCTGTACTCAGGCTGGTGGTGGGATGATGGACAGTGCCCATCAAAGTTCAGCTTCTCCCATATATTCCAGAGGAACAGCAGGGAGGATTCTTCGCTGGGAGGACGGCCCTCTTTAAACCCTCACRAGAGCTCCAGTTCCTCCTGTGTGCACATCTTCCCTCAGCAGGACTTGCTTTCTGCCCTGGGCCCTGCCAGGACACTGCTCCGGCCTCGGAGGCACAGCTGGCTTGGAGACAAAGCCGTGGAGGATGGGAGGTGGGCAGGCCATGTCAGAGCAACAGCCAGGGCTCGGGTCCCYGCAGTCCGAGACGCTGCCGCGCTGGGCCGCTGTGGGGCGAGGTGCCATCCTGTGCCACGTGCAGCCCTGGGTGTTTCAGGGAGCTTTGGCTTAGCTTACACAGACGGGATCTTCTAACCTGTTTGCTCTCTAGCCATCCTGCTTCATCACTGTCTAGTTGCTCAATCTGTTACCTTCCCTATACAGAAACACTAAAATGAACAGAACTTGTGACCCAGGACTTTCTGACCTCCAAGGATACCAGGGGCATTCAAGGCAGCAGGTTTTGAGGAAATGTGATGTCGGTGCCTTTTAGCTGTGCCCCACAGGTTGTCCTTCTTACTTACACGTACGCTTTCAAGAGTTGTTTGTATCTCCGTCTGCCCTGTGCTGCCTTAATACAATTTCTTTTCAGTCAGGGGTAGAGCTGGTTGGAGCCAAATTCCTCCAAATTCCTTGCAATCACAGACTAGATTGTCAGCATCCTGGAACCCAGTGCAAATCCGAGGGGCTCTGATTACTGGGATTTTTCTGCTCTGAAGACTGTGCTGTGGCCTTGAGCCATGTTGTTGCTTGCCTGTGCTCCTTCGTGTGCCAGCCCTGAGGGAGACTTAAGCATATGCAGTATAGGGGTGACCAAGTGGTTGCTTCGTTCAGCACAAACAAGGAAACAGCCCACACAGGCCTCAGCATCCTCCCCCTCTTCTCATGACATTCTAGCATCCTAATGAAATGCTAGTGATCATGTCTTTGATCCCTGCTTTCTCCTGCCCATCTCACAGCAGCCTCCCACCTGCCCTATTTCTCTGTGATCCCTTCCCATCAGGAAGCACAGGCTGTTTAATATGTCTGTTAGGCTGCAGGTGGCTGTAAAATTCCTGCATCTCCTTCCTCTCTGAGCCAGGATGCTAGGTATCACTCAGCACTCATGGCCAGAGCAGCAGCTTCGCTGGACTTAGATCTTTAGTCTTTAAAATGCTTCTGTAACCCCAGACTTCCAGGACATAAACACAGGCATAAAATATCCATGTGTGTTTCCTGAAGTACACAATAAAGTGAATGCATTTGAGAAATGCCTGCTGCCCACAGGTGCCATGTCTGCAGATCAGCATCTGCACCGTGTCCCAGCAGCAGAGCAGCTGGGGGTGTCACTGCTCATCTTTGTTGAGTGGACTGGTGATTTTATRACTTTTTTTCAGATTAATTCCATGGGGGTATGAAAAATGGATYCCTTTGGGTCTTCCACCTTCCTGTGCCACAAGGAAATCCTATGCTCAGTCACCCTGTTTTTTGGCTATATAGTTTCTCTTTGGAGAAGAGATGGCTCTTGTTGATTTTGTCAGGAATTCAGACTAGTTGAAAGGACCATTTTAATCCTCTTTAACTGTGGGCAAGTTTCTTCAGCCTTTGCTTATCTCCGATTCACTGCTCTGTAACCAGCCCCACATGCAGAGGACCACATGGTACAAATGAAGGCAGACAGAAAGCAGACATTTGGTGAAGCTAGCTTAAGAGAGTCATGCTGTTGTGACCCAAGCTGCTGGCACGCTCTTCTCTGGAGTATGAGCATGTGAGCCATCTCACCCCAGAACGAAGCCAAAGAAACAGCCCTTTCTCCATGATCTTATTGCTCTAATGGAGCCACTGACTACGCTGACTTCTTCTGACTAGCCCCATGCCTCCTCTGCCAGGAATCTCAGATCTATCTTTCCAGCATGAAGGCATCACTCTGCACCATTCCTACTTATAAACCATGTCCCACAGTCATATCCCTTCTATCTCTCCTGGTTTTACTGGCTTGCATTTTGCTGATCCCAAGTCACTGAACTGTAGTTGAGAGACCTGGTATCATATGTGCAGAGGTAACATGTCTGATTGATGTTTTCAGCTTTCTTCTTGGCACTGTGGTCTTCAGAGAAAACTCCTTTCTGCACTGATATGTCCTGGGGAGGTGTTCTATAGAACCAGACTTGACAGCTCTGGGAATTTCAAGCATTCCAGCAACCAGAGACAGAAATGGCAGAAGCTAGTTCAGTGTAAACACTTACAAATGTACAGAAGTGCAGCCAGGCAAGAGCTAGACAAATGGAGAACTTGTTTGGATTGACTGTCTGCCCGAGACACTGATTGTTAGTAGAGTCTGGATATGTCCGGATGTCTCTGTCGAGTGCAGCTTTCATGTTTGGTACGTGTTTGTGTGCGGAAAGACATCAGAGAAGAGGAAGAAACGAAGGCAGGCATCTGTCTGAGCAAACCTGCCATGACCAATTCTTGCTATTTTTCGTATTTTGCCTAACATAAGAAACAGCTAAGGCACTTGAATCCTAAAGAGAATATATCTAGAAGATGAGTTCAGAATGAGGTAGAGATGGGGTGTGACCAGGCCAGGACATTCTGTAACAAGTGTTACATCAGCCTCAGAGGTTGTTGGCTTTGCTTGGGCTGTTAGCTGTCTGGTTTGCTCCTGGAAGGTTGCATGTTGTTAAGCTTCTTCAGGGAGGTGCACACACAGAGGAGGCTTAGGGCAAGCTATAGCAGAGAGTGCTGGAAATTCTCTGTTGCTCCTGTAAATGAGTGCTAAAGATGGGATCTCCCCAATGTGGAAGATCAGAGACARACTTGAGAAGGGAGAGAGCTGTTGGGAGAAGGTGGTCACTGAAAATGTGAGAGGAAGATGAGCTAGAGAGTGGGCTTGGGGAAAGACAGAGTATCTGCATGATGTAGTACTTGAACTGAGAATGGAGTTTGATGGATGAAATATATACAGTTCTGTATACACTGTAGTACAAAATAAATTAGATAAAAGTATCCACAAACCCTCCAAGTCTTACTCAGCAGAGGCCTTGGGGCACTCACTGAAAGGCTAGATGAGAGTCAGGAGGAGGAGTATAGCAGACTGCAAAGATAAAACTCAAGATCCATGGTGGTGAAAGGGAATTAGAGACTGAGGAAGTTGTTAAAGCAGCAGTACTTGGATGTGGCTGGGAGGAAGCCCAAGCCCAGGCAGGATGTTTGAGCTGTAAGCAAGTTGTACGAAAGCAACTGTGCTTTGTAAGCTCCCGTGCTGTGGTGACGTTGGGATGTCAGGGCTAGTACCAGGCATGTGGCTGTGCAGTCACTCCTCTCTTTGTGGGTATGCAGTGATATGTGAAGAAGAGCGGGCTGGAACCAGGGTGGGAGATGATCTGTGCAAACTAAAACCAGCATAGYCCATGAGACCGTTTGGGTATAGGCAGACCCTGGCAGGGTGTATATTTGGACACTCTTTTSCCTGAAACGTTAGGATGTCTTGACCCGCCTCAGGCATGTGAAATCAGAGCTTAGAAATGAAGAGTTTTTCTCTGAAGGCAAGATGTTCACTGTGATGTAAGACATTAAGTTTTCCCCATTTCAGAACTGTTCTTTTTCATTTTTTTTAACTTTAAGACCTTTCTGAGAAGCTGATGTTTGAGGTGTGTRGCCAGGGAGGTTCTGAAATGTCCCAGAGTTTGCCCAGTGTGAGAGACTCCCCTGTTCTGAGCATGGCGAGATGCACCCGTGCACAGCCTGCCCTGGGCCCTCACTCAGAGGACACGGAGAGCAAGACACATGGCCAGAGACAGTCACAGCCCGTGCCTTCCATGTCCTTCCCATCTCTGGGGACAACACAGGTCTGCAAGAGGGGGAGCTCCAAGAAAAGGCAGCCTTGCTGCTGCATCCGTATCAACCATATCTACCCGTGCCTGTACTCTGCAGGAGATACAAAGCTAACCATCCTGGATGGATTTGGGGGAGTTTCTGGCTGCAGCAGCAAACCAGCCTATTCCAGGTTCTGTTTTTCACTGCTCACCTTCCCTTACGTTCTGCTGCAGCGTAGCTGGCCACTCAGCCTACCCACGGGCTTGGTAACACGCTGGCTGTTTGTGCACTTTGCAGATCTTCATGTGCTGCTTTCTCTCCTCCTGCCGATGATTTTTAGCTTTATTAAGGCAAGCCTTTGAAGACCATTGTTTTGTTTTTATTCCCACTCCCCATGTTTTTTCAAGTTTTTTGTCCTAGAGAAAAGTCTGAATTTCACTGGAAAATTGGATCTTGCAGTGTCTGGCTTGGCGTCCGCCGCGCTCCCCCAGCAGAGCAGACCTCCCACGGCGAGAGGGGTGGCAGCTCCATGGGTGAGCTGCCTCGGCAGCCGCCCGGCTCCGCGCCCCGCCTGCAGGCACCGGAGCTGCCGCTGGAGCCCACTTGGGATCAGCCCCCTGGCCTGCCCTTGTTGCCATCAGGTCACYGGGATACTGAGGAGGAAAAGGGAAGTATGGGGTGAAGGCTGCGGGGGCTCTCTTGAGCTTGTGTGAGAGGCAGGACACTGCCCGGAGCCCCAGGCAGCAGCTGGCCCGCACGGKCCCAGCCGTGCCGGATGCCACCAGCCCGTGCATGCTGGCTCTTTGTGTGTTTCTTTTCATGCACAGGGCATTTAGAAGTACCACAGCCACCCTCCTGATGGCATGGGCTGTGCCCAGCGCTCGCACGGAGCCTTCTCTAGTCTGGGTAGGGTTTCTTCTGCGTGGCCAGTCCAGCGCCTCCAGAAATGGCWGCGTGTCCTGAAAGTGGCAAAGGAATTCAGCAAGGCAAGGCTTCTCAGAGAGATAATGTCTTTAGTTTGATGAATGGAAAGAGTTGAAAGAAGCTGGCAAGCTCTTAGCATCCAAGCATTTCCTCACTTCTCTTCTGATCTAACCACAGGCTTGTCTTTACCCCTTTTAACTGAGTGATATTGGCTGCCTAATATAATGTATTATAATCTCTCTAAGAACCTTGCCTCACTCAGGCTCTTGTGGCTAAACTTCTAGTTTACTTTCAATTCACCATTAGTCTGAGCTTCATCCTGTCTTTAGGCAGCATTTCCTTGTCCTTCATTTCATTTGGACTGTTTTTGTGCCTCTTTTGCCCACTGTAAGAGACAGACTAGGTCTCTGGATGAGAACTTGAGCTTGTGGTGACTGGGGAGCCAGGGCTCTGGAGTCCTCTTTCTTGGAATGGCAGGACTGTAGTGGGAAGTGACAGAAAACTTCTGAAATGTGCCTAGCTGCTTAAGAATCACCCTGCTAGACTGAAAAAAATGAGAGCCCTTTCCTTGTTTTCCATGCATCTGCTTTCCTTCTCATTTTGATGTGCTGGAATATTCTGCTAGATGGGAGAAAGGCAGTAGTGTGACTCCAGGCTTGTGCCTGCTTTTTTTTTTTCTGGGGCTATGAGCTAATTTTACTTGGCCTCCCACTGAAATCCCTGGGACACACACAGTCCCCTTTGCGAGCCCAGCCTCGCCTGGGCCTCACCTGCTGCTGCAGAGCTCACAGAAGGCAGCACTGGGTGGTGACACGAAGCAAAGCTGGCCCRGATGGGAGAGGAGCTGTTGCAGAGAGCCAAGGGGAGTCCTGGGGTGCAACTACCTGACAAGTTCTTCCCTTTAGCCCCAAAGCTGCTGAGCACAAGTGGTCAGGATACGAGGCTTTGGTTATCACATACTTGGATGAGGAGCCAGAGCTCCCTGTCCTCCAAACAGTGTGAAGTCCCTCTGCCTGACAGATACAGCTCAGCTGCTCTGCCCCAGCCAAAGCCTCATTGCCCCTTCCTTGAGAGAGTGCAGGCAGGCAGACCCTGGAGCCCAGGATGGGCTGGTTGGATTCTGGCTGTGGATACTGACAGGTTTCATGCTCTCTTGGATCAGCAGATCTGCTTTTTCCTATTCATTCTCCCTGTTAAATTCCTGAGGAATAGCTTCTAAATTCTGTCTCTCATTCCTGCTAGAGCAGTGGTGCGGGAGAGGGATGGATGTTTATCCCCTTTGCTGGAGACTTGAGTGTTCTRGACTGTTTTTTTCAGGGGGTTGTAGTTTCTGCTGTAATTCGGTAAGATCAGAGCTTATGGAAGGAAATGGTCCTCTGCTTGAGTAACCAAGTACAAAGCTGAGAGTAATAGTTTACATCGTGCTGCAGCACATGCCGCCTTCCCTTGTGGCTGTATCCTGGCAGAAGGAGAGCAGCATCCATCCAGTACTTCAGAAACTGCATTGGTTCCCCTTGGTACAGAAAGATCTGCTCACATTTCATTACAGTTATTCTTTCCAGGGAATGCAAGTTTCTTAACAAAGTTATGCCATTCATCCCCAGCGCCACGATTAACTTGCAGCATTAATGAGCTGCAGGTTTCTGTGGACTTGAGTCACATGGATGGTGAGGTGGCACAAAACCTGCACACTCAGCCCTCCCCAGCATTTTCCACCCTCTCCCTTGCCTTCTTCCCAGCAGCATCTGGCAGCGGGATGCTGCCCAGGATCTGTTTCTCTGCAAAGGCTGTTTGGAGATGGAGGGGGGCTCTGACACATGTCATCACTGTTTGATCTCCAACATGCTTGGCTCTGTGGCGGAGGGCTCACATGTAACAATGCTGCTTCGTTTGAGCATCTGTTATCACATTGTGCTGAGGCTGACAGATGCTTCCAAGCACAGTTAATGCCTGTCGGCAGCCCTTAGCCCACAGCCTGTGGTGTTTGGACTCTAGGAACTGGAATCTTGCTGGGGCCCCAGACCTGGAGTTCATGAGCTAGAGGCTGTTTTTCTCTCTCCAGAAAGTTGGAAATTTACCCCRGGCCCCTGCTCTTGACCTCTGGGTAAGTGATTCTCTGTATCATATCACCAGCTGCACCCCTTTTCCCTTAACTTCCAGATATTTTTAAATAAACCTTGCTTCATGACTGAACTGGCACAGGAGTAGATAGATTTTTTTTCTTAGTCTTTCATCCAGCAGATGAGTATTYCTCTTTATTCAAAGAGTCTTATAGCCTAAGTGAATATACCTGAGGAAACCAGGCTTTCTCTCTTACYTCTGACACAGAATGGTGAATAGCTCATTTCCTCAGTCCTCATTTCTGTTACTTCCCAGGCACCTTTTCTTAGGAGGCTAGTTCCCAGCTTTTGGCCTCCAAGAAGTGTCCTGGAATGGCTTTGAACTGTGTTAATGGGCTCAGTGTAATGGACTGCCCTGATTTCTGCTGCCAATGCTGTGTTTTGCTCTGTAGGCTCTTTTTGGCCAACTCCTGTCTCAAGGATGTTACCTCTGCTTCTTAAAAGCTGCAGTATATTAGAAGTCTTCCAGATCCCAGAGGCAGATACACTTCATGCCATGAAAGGCTTTTCATTTAATGGCCTTAGAGTGTGAGCTACTGATGACAGGCAGGAGGAATTTGACTGGTGGGAATATAGCTGAACAGTTGCTTAGCTGTTAGGCTCACATCTTGTTTCCAAACATATGGTCCAGAACATTAAAAAGAAGTCCCACCCTGGGAAAATCCCATCCTTAGACTTCCATCTTTCTACTCCACCCCATGCTTACTCACTCCCCACTTCTTCACCTCCCAAATTCCCTTTCTGTTGCTGCAATATATGGTGCCTAAACTTGACATTCCTACGATTTGTTGGACACATGTTACTTGCTTATAAAAATTCTGGAGAAATTTAATTGTGCAGGTTACAGGTCATTTTGAAACCCACAAAGCTATTTTAAGCAACAATTTGAAGTTGTCTTTAGTGAGAATGATTGGGGCAGGAAATCTTGTGGAGCCAAGAGATCCTCGTAAAATAAGAGAAAGGGTAGTAAATGGTCCTTGGGCTGTTACTTCAGCATCTCATCAAGGACCTCTGTCATTTCTTCCACTCTGGTTCCCTTTGACGTATGCAACCTGGCCATCCAAGCTGGCTTGGAGAAAGCTGAGGTGATAGAGGGACAGGTAATTAAACACAGGCAGCACCTCTGAATGGCAAATCTGGCATCTGCAAAGTAGCAGAAGCCACTTGGGAAATGTGTCATTGTGTCCTCATGGTTGTGTCTGTCATCCAGGCCTTTTCTCCATGGCTACTCCTGCCTTTCTGTCTGTCCTGAGATCTCCACACGCCTGTTGAAGGCCAACGTGGCCTTCAGCCTGTCCTTGCCCCCTGCCCAAGTGCTATTAGTATGGGTGGAAACTGCGCCTTGGTTGTGCTGTGTGGGTACTCAAGCTGCAGATCTTGTGCTGAGGTTGAGCAAAAGTGGAAGCAATGTGTCCTGTCATGAAGGAGAAAGAGCTTGTAGGATCTGTGAAGGACATTTTTTGGAGGTGGTCACTCTCATGCCTGTAGTAGAGAGGYTGAGCACAAAAATGGAGGGCACAATCATTACTAGTGAAAGGTTTTAATATATAAGGGTCCATAATGAAGAGGCATACAAGCAATAGCATGGGAATGGGATTCATACCTTATGGCAGACAACATAGAGCAAGAGAAGGAAAAGTGGGGCAGAACACTGAGCCCATGTTCAGTAGCTGATAAGGYAGGCATGAAGCGAGGAAGGAGGAAGAGAAAAATAAAGGCCTGGTGGTTGGCTCTGCTGTCTCTTTCCCACACTGTTTGCTTTCTTCCCAGCACACCCAGTGATTGAGAATGGACATGTGGAGTGTCCCCAGGGATATAAGAGGCTGAATAGGAGCCACTGTCAAGGTAAGGCTGCTGTTTTTTCCCTCTGTCTCCTTCCCACATCCTCAGAAAGAGTAATAATTATCTACACAAGTAAAACAGTTATCTAAATTCCCTGATACAGATCTACAAAGATAAAAATCCCTGTGCCTCCATCAAGCGTGAAAAACCCGAGTAACACTGGGCTGCATGACTCAGCTCATAAACATAGCTCACAACTAGGCCAACACAAGGAATCTCACCTGATAAATACTACTGACATTCTTAATTTTGACTGCTGTACATGCACGGTAAGGATCTCCATTGCTGCTGTGTTAAGTGTATGTGTAAAAGCACTTCTCCTGTAGTGTGAAGTAACAGAAGATTTATTGCCTCAAAAGTTTCAGAAGATTGTCTGCTTGTTCATTTATCTTTTTTTCCTAAGTGGGAGAGTGCCATAAAAGTGAATCCTTCTGTTCCGAGTGTGCCACTTGGATGTGCTGCCAGGCTCTGCTTGCCTGCTGCACACTGCTGGGACCTATACATTCTCACCCTCACAGTCCCTCAGCTCCATATGAGGAAGGCATCATCCCATACTTCTCCCCGGTTCATGAATATTTGGTGTCTTTGGCCCACAGCCATTGTGTTTTCTATGTTCTGCCTGAAGTGGAATTTTATGGTTCCATTTTTGTGATTCATGATAAGCTGAGAGGTGTCATGTAGAAGATGCAGCAGGGAGCTTGGGCCCTCGCCATGCAAACCCGGGGCTGGCAATCGAATGACTCATTTTTAGCTGGGATTTTCCAGCATGCTTGCTGAATTACTGAGTCAGTCTCCCCTCATTGTCCTGGGGGAGAGTTTTCAATAACGTAATGGCTTCTATTCCCTCTGGTGCTTAGATCTCAATCCTTCTGCAGCCATTGGCTGCTGTGGATTGGAGGAGCTACTTGAAGATGCTAAATCGGAGCCAGCGGAACAGAGTGACCGGTGTCAGTGAGCAGAGACATATGGCACCTGCTCAGGGTTGGCATCCCAGCTGGAGCAGGGTGAGGCTGAGAAGCAGAGGGACATGGCAGTATGGAGTTGTCTGGAAAGATATTTTTGCACAGGAAAAATCGCAAAGCAGAGTTATGCATTTCTGCAGGTTGCTTTGCAAGCCAGGGTAGAGAGATACTTTTTGGGGGGCAGCCTGCTGCCTCTAGGTACATTCCTGATCTTTGCTGTGGCTGCAGGATGCATGTCAGGAAGCCCAGAACCTCACTTCAAGGTCTAGAGTGAGCAATTTGGCTGATGAAGCTGAGGGAGAGGCTGCAGATGTCCCTCTTTCCTGCCCAGCTYGGAGGAAAATCAGAAACTGATGAGACTTGATGGTTCCTGAAACCGTTAGATGTAGGAGAAATGCTGAGCTGAGAAGGAGATGAGTGACCATTTCACTGAGCTCTGGCTGTTCARGCTGCCAGTAGAGCACTGGTGAGTGACTAGAGGAAGGCCCTGGCCAAAAACCATCTCACTCTGTTCCTGAACAGGAAGGGTTGTATCTGGTGCCTTCCAGCAGAAGAACAAATACTCCTTCTACAGGAACTCCTTTCCTTAGCTTACTGCATCCCATCAAGCTGTAATGAATCTGAGTAGGGAGTGCCTGGAATACCCAGCACTGGGTGGGTATTCAGTTTCCACAGTCCGTCCAGATTCCAGGAGACATTCTCTGGACTCATTCCCTAAAGGGACCTTGACCACACAACACAGATCCTCCTGCACCATCAACAAAGGCCTGGGAGCCATTGCATCTTCAGTGAGTGAGTGCTCATTGTCTCTGATTCACAACAGCCTGGAGGATTCAGAACTATGCCTGTTAAAGAGAATAGCACAGGGTGTCCTCCCACTAGCCAGGGAACCTCTCGGTGCTGCCTGGACCAGCAAGGAGGGTGCTGCTGGAAGGAATAATGTTCTTGCAATGTGTGAGGCAGAAGTAGTTTTGGGGACTGCTGGCTGGGTGAGCTGGAGATGATGGTAGGGAGATCTAGAGTATCCTGTGGCCACTGCAGTGGACATTCATCTGGTGGTGCCCATATATTATTGTGTCTGTTACCGACAAAGGTTCTGTTTGCTCATCACAGAGCTGCATAAACCAGCCTGCACCTTCTACTGCAGGCTGCCTATTCCAGCAYGGGTGTTTCTGAGGAGCACCAGCAGGTTGATGCAGGGCAGGAAGAAGCAGATGAGACACCTTTTGGTTATGGTACCGATTTACAGGCCCCTTTGCTTCTTCCTGTGGCTCCAGCTTTGCCTCTGGCAGGGATTAGGAGCGTGTGGGGCAGAGCTTGCCTGCTTGCTTCTCTTCCCTCGGTTTCCACTGGGGGTGAGTCTTCGGCTGCCAGTGGAAAGAGGGGATTGGAGCAGGGCCAAGAGGCGGCCCTGTTTTAAATTAAACGCACAAAGCCGGGCCCTTGGTGCTTGTTTGTCTTGCGCTCTCATTACTCTAATCCCTTCAATCCCTTTGCTTATACATAGGCCAAACACCTCATCCATTTGGTGTGTCAGAATGACAAGGCATTCAAGTAGTGCCAGGGAGTGACAGAGATGCTCCCCAAGGCTATTCGGGAGATCTCAAACTCTTTCTCTGAGTGGGATTCCTAGCACATTTGGCTGCTGATGCTGCTTCTCATGAACTCTGTCCTATATTTGGCACAAGGCAGGAGACTGGTGCTTGTCACAGTGCTGTCACAGCCACCCCTTCTTCCCAGAGCATCAATAGGGGCTAGGCAAGTGGCATAGCAATGCACAGGATTTTTGTGTCATCCAGGATAGAATTTTTTTGTTGATTGCTCCTCTTTGCGTTGAACTTTGCTATCTGTCAGCTCTGAGGCCACTAATTCAGTTCTGTGGGGGAGGAGGTTCTCTTGGGGAGTCATTCCCACCTGCMTGTCTGGAGAGAGCTTGGGAGCTGTGCTTTCTTGGCTCTGGGATCGTCAGACATGCAAGGGGCTGACTCTGCCATTCTGATAGGAGGAGATTGGGATAAATTGGTCTCCATCATGTGCTGAAACCTTGGAATAGAAACTGGARGAAGGCTGTCACTAGGTCAGCACAGCCAAATCCTGTTGCCCTGTAGACTGCTGTGCATCCCTGTAGCATCAGTACTTCCAATTGGTTGATCATGGCCTGATCCTTACAGTCCCAGTGTGTCTCAACTATGTGTGGAGCAGCTGGTGGGATGAAAGAAGGATTTTAAGAGCACAGGACTAGAGAGGACCTCCCAGAGCATTAAGTCAAAAGTCTGGCTGTGTGATAGCCCCACTTTCACCAAGAAGGGATGTTCCAGCTCCAAAGGCTCCCTTCCCAAAGACTTTGACTGCTGAGTCAGTGGCAGAGACAGTGCTTGAACTTGGCAACTTTTTGCTCTGGCAACCTGTTCACTACAGTGACAAGCTGGAGATTGGCTCCCTGTAATTTGGCTTGGCACTTGGGCACTGTGTGAGGATCAGTCACTCATGGGATGTCACTGTATTTCCCAGCAAAGATCCTCTGTGATGGACTGCTCCAGACTAGCAGGACCAGGTGTTGAGTTAGAGGAGAAGACTGCCCTGCCAATCAAGGCTCACAAACATGAAATTGAGGGCTGTAAAAGCAATCTTAACAGGGTGGCTCATCAGAAGCACCACATCTGTTTTCCATGAGGATTCCAGAGCAGAGCACTCATTTGATATCCATCTCTGCAGCTGCAGCAAGCTGTGCAGCAGATGTGGGACTGCTGCTGTCACCACAGAGATTCCCACCAAGCCGCTCAGTTCAGAGGCTGCCGAGGACACCTGTGTGGCTGGGACCTGGTTCTGAGCCAGGACACCTGATGGGAGGCTTTGGGCTAAAGGGACCTGAAGTAAGGGGAATGACAGAATAGCATGAACATCACCTGATCTGACAGCACAAGGCTAAGAGTAAACAGAGAAGATGATAATTCCTTCCCATTCGTGAAAGGCAATTGTTTCACAGCAAGCCTCAGAGATTAGAGCAAGTGGAACTTGAGGCAATGAAAGAGAGGACCAGATGCCTGCAGCCAGCAAGACTACAGAGAGCTTATCCAAGGGATCTGAGAAACAAAGCTCTGTGGCAAGAGGCAGCCAAATGGTGTGGATGGAGGGGTGGAATGTCCCGGCTGCTCAGAGCATCGTGCCAATTCCCAGATTCCATATCGCTTCCATCCTCCAAGAGCTGTGGCTAAGGCAGAGCCTCTGACAGTGCTTGCTCTGAACACTTATCTCACTTAACCTTTCCTGGTTATTGATGAGTCCTAGCTTAGCTGTCCCTAATGCCATGTCAAAGAAGATTCCTCACTACTCTGTGGGAGCACCTTGGCACATGACCCCAATGACTGCTGCTTGCTTTACCACTGTGTTCTGATGGTGCCGAGACCAGCTCATCTGGGACGTGAGGGATAGCATCAACCTGTCTCTGCTTGGGTTCACTTTTATCCTGTGGGACAGGAGGCTAGAAGACAACAGTGAGCTGATTCAGTGTGATCAACTTGCAGGCAACATCCAGGCTTTGCAGGCTGGCCTGACCAAAAAGCAGGGAAGAGAACAAAGCTCCTGTCAGTCTCTCAGCCCTTCTCACACCCAGCAAAGGCTCCTAGGCCCTAACTAGGCAGCAAAGTCAAGGTCTCTTGGCTAAGCTGGTCTTTCTCTTCCACACAGATATCAATGAATGCCTGATGCAGGGGCTGTGCAAAGACGCCGAGTGTGTGAACACCCGTGGCAGCTTCCGCTGCACCTGCAAACCTGGCACCATGCTGGACCCGTCCCGCAGCCACTGTATCTGTAAGTGCTCCGGAGAACACCCCCAAGCTGGGAAGGGACAGTGGCCCTAAGCCCTTTGAGTATCACAGAATGTGTGTGTGAGCAGGACCCCACAGGTCACGAGCCAAGTGGGCTGCACTTTACCTCATGCTTCTTGCAAGGCTGTCTGGACACAGGAGAGTCACTGTATGCCTGCAGATGCTCCTTGCTTGTGTATGAGTACCTAGACCTCCTATCAGCCGGGGCTCTTCTTCATGAGACCTTCATGGTCTTCTCTTTCTGTTCACTGTAGAGCCCAGTGCAGTAGCAGAGGGGAGCAACCTCCCTGTTTGACAGAGCTCCCATAGGAGATGGATTAAATTGGGACTGACACAGGCAGGGGTGATGGCCTGGAGTGTTTTCTGGCATGAGGACTGGGTAATTCTGAGGGTGGAAAGCACAGACAAAGCGAGGGCTGAGGTGGAGAGGCTGAACATCCTTTCTGTCTTGGGTCAGTGTAGAGCTGGATGCCAGGCTGACCCTGCCATTGTGTTTCAGCGGACAAGGCAGTGTCCATGGAGCAGGGGCTGTGCTACCGCTCAGTGGCCGGAGATGTTTGCTCCTTCCCTCTCTCCCACCGAATCACCCAGCAGATCTGCTGCTGCAGCCGTGTTGGCAAGGGCTGGGGGAAGAACTGTGAGAAGTGTCCCATGCCTGGTTCAGGTGAGATGTTCCCACTTTGTCTTTGTCTGCTCGGATTAGATTTGGGCTTTGACTTGTTCGAACTTATATTCTCTTCTAGCTTCTTGCTTGCAGTCAGACCACAATGAGACAGGGCTTATACAGTCCAAGGAACAGTGCACAGACTGGGACTTGAGCTCAAAGGTCTGTGAGACTCAGCTTTAGACCATGTACCTGGCTGCAAGTCCTGGAGCAGAATGATGCAGAGGTAAACCTGTGATACAGGTATAGCAGGCCAGGGAGCAGGCATGGGTAGTCAGGCAGATGAAGAAGTTCTTGATAGGAAAGCAGAGTGCACTAAAGGGAGAACGCAGCCTTGTCTGTGCCTAGCTTTGCTTGACAGCCCTTTCCGTCTTGCTCTGCCTCCCTTACAATGAATGTTTCATCTGCTGGCGTGACAGCTGGGTGAGGAGCAGTTTAGTGTCCCAGCATGTAGTGGAAAGGAGGCAATACTGCAGAATTCCTTGTGGATGGGAAAGATCCATAGGTAGTTTGTGTAGAGTATGTTGAGTGATGGGCAAAGCCCTCATTGCCAAGGTACCAGGGGTTCACTTTTATCTGCTCCCTTCCTCAGCTTCAACCTTCATGTGGCATGATCCCTTCCCAACAGTAGTGTTCCAAGGAGTAAATGGATAGATGTAGTTTTTGGAGTCCAGGAATGCCATCCAGAACCTGTTAGAAACCCAACCTGCACTGTGGGCCAATTTTTTCCACTTGAAGCATCCACCCACTGCAGCCCAGTTGTGTTTCTACTGTGAAATAGCTCTCAGAAAATGTACAGAAGATGAAAGGATGGGAGAAACTGTCGCTTGCATTCATATRTGGAAACTGTAGGCTTGTCTATTTTCATTCCTTTCTTCACTGTCTCACCTTCAAGTCTGAGTGCTATAAACCAGCGTTTGGATTTGTGGTCTCTGCATGAGCCTTTCCTTTCACCCCCTACCCTCTAAAGGTTTAGCTTGATTTTCCCCCACAGAAGCCTTCAAGGAGATTTGCCCAGCAGGACATGGCTACACCTACTCTAGCTCTGATATCCGCCTGTCCATGAGAAAGGCAGAGGCAGAAGAGCTACCACTCAGCTTGGAAGAGCAAAGGCAAAGCCACAACTGGACATTAGATTGGGCAGGAAGAAGACAGCCACTGCAGGACAGCTTGCGTGGGAGCATCCTGGAGGCGTTCCTCCATCCTGACACCTCAACAGGAGAAGGTAGTATGGGATATAATGCTCAAAGCTGCTCCATCAGGGTCTATAGCAGGGAAGGGCAAATTCCCAGTGCCTATCTTGTCTCTGTGGCAGGATTTAGCTGATAGGAGCTCTCTGTGTGTATGTGGATATGCAGGTGTCTTTCAATCCAAGTAGTATCTCCAGGACCCTAGACACAACCTCATCAAGCCTTTGGAGATGAGATTGAGTGTTCCTGGCTCCTGTGACCACACCTTTGCAAATGATTCTGGGTGGCCACGCTACCTCTGCTTTGACCTAAGGTCTGTGTGGGAGCTTTGGCACTGCAGTCCTTATCCATTTGTCCAGTACAACCAGAGAAAAGTGTGACTGACAACTTGTGCCAGCATCTTCTGGAGTGGAAGGTCCTAGGGTCTGTGAAGAGCTGGGAGATGAGTCCTGGTGTGTTGGCTTTGGGAACAAGCTCTTACTGAGGAGTATGAGGGACTCGATGGCAGTGTCTGGGAGATGGGTGATGTTAGAGCAGCCAGGTCTCAGAAGGATGGCAAACTATCTTGTCTCTATTCACCATGCACTGTTTCACTTTCCAGGTGAAGTTCCTCCTATTGAGCAGGTGAGTAAGGCTCATCTCACTAAGCCTGTGCGTGTCTGTGGTGCCATGATAGGCAGGAAGAGCAATGTGGACCATACAGATAGGTGGTGGGGAGGTATGAAATGTCCTCCAAGATAGGACTAAGGAGAGCAAATAGCTGCTGGCTAAGGGAACAGTGTGAACTACAAACCCACCTGAGCTGCTGTGGCTGAAGTCACTGCACCAGCAGGTACCCTGCTCTGTGGAGTGTCTAACTGAGAAGTCAGAATGCCAAGTCCAGAGGAATTGTTCTTGGTCAGGATGATGTTCTCAGAATAATGTTGTCCTGCCATGTGCACCCAGTCGTGACACCAACTCCTCCCATGGCAATGTCTCAGAGAGCAAGAGGAGCTGGGAAGGGAGTAGGAAAGTGTCTCAGGGAAATTGTCCCTCAGCTACATTCATGTAAAAAAGAGATGTCTTATATTTCTGTCCCTCAGGGCCCTGCTCAGGCCACCCGAGAGCCTGCCATGCACACTGGTAAGTGCCCAGCTGGCATGTGGTCAAGATGGTAGTAGAGAAGAGGGTTTGAGCTTCCTCCTCTGCATAGCACCTGCTAGTGCTGGGCAGGGTGGGCTCCTGGCTGAGCTGGCCAAGGGTCAAGTGGAGGGAGCCCTTGTTACACAGTGGGTAGACAATCAGAAATGATGTGGAGCTCTGGAGCAGACAGTGTGGGTCTGTGCGGGTGTGGGGACATGGTGCCCCTCGAGCAAGCCATGTTTTGTCTACAGGGAGTGACATAAATAAGATTTTGTTGGTTCATTTAATTTTAATAACAAGATTGTGAAGTTTCTGCACTGGAGTCTGACATGGCCCCTGCCTTTTCCTATAAGCTGTCTCAGAGCTGTGGGTGTTGGGATGGTTGGGTATGGGCAGGTCTTGTGCAGACCCTCACACCTGGAGTCCCTGGGGTCCCAGGCTGGAGATCATGTCTTTCTTATCTTCGTGTCTTCCATCACCTCAGCAGAGAAAGAAGAGCCTCCACATGCTCCCCCCACAGCTGGCACCGCTACCTCCCACACTGATGCATCTCCAACACGGGTGTCAGCACAAGACACAGGTGTGTGTCCCTGGCTTTGGGAGATTGCCCTCCTCCATGTGTCTGGAGCTACAAGGAGACTGTGCCTGCAGCTCTGTGCTGGTGCATTCTCCTTTTCCACTTGTCTTCCCACCTGTCCCACTTGACTTCCCCAGCAAAAGTCCATGGCACAACACCCTGGAGTGTTGTCACTGTCCCACCCCCCCATCCCAGCCTGACTCAGGCTGCTCCTAGGAAATCCTGTGTCCTTCCCTGCCTGCAGTTTGTTTGTGTGACACAGCATGGCAGTGACTCCTGGAGAAGAGGGAATCACGTGCTTGCTTTAGTGGCTTTGGCACCATTCCTTCTGCAGCAGAGTGTTGAGTCACTGGGAAGTCGGAGTGGAAGGGGAAACATGTGGCTCCCAGGGGTGGGTTGTTTACTGCACAGAAAACAAGAACTCTGTTGTTACGGGGTTGCCTAAGTGTCTGGGAGCATGGTCTGTGCTCCTCTGCGTGGGGCTGGAGCACCTCAGGGAGAAGGCCTGGCGGAGGCACCTAGCTATGGAATGTGCCTCCATCAATAGCCTTTTGTTTGAGGTTGGTCTGGCAGTGGGCCTGGCTCAGCACTGAGGGATGTGCAGTGTCACTGCTGGCCTTCTCCTGCACCCCCTTGCTTGCCCTTCCTACAGCCCCATGAAYGCAGGTTACCTGAAGACTGGAGGGGACAGCTGAGCTAGCTCCATTGCTATCCACATGGGACCCCAGGAGACTGTTAGTGGGGACCCAAGACACACAGCTTGGACTTCTTGCACYCTTGCAGTGCTGCCCCCAACCTCATTCTTTCTCCACCCAGGGACCAATGACTGTGCCTCTGCTCCGCTGTCCTGTGGAGCAGGTGCTTGTGTGCTCACCCTGGATGGATACAGATGCTTGTGTCACCCGGGCTATCAGTTGCACCCCAGCCACCACACCTGCATTGGTACGTTGACATTTCTTTTGTTTCAAGAAATGAGCAGGGAGATTCAGGACATCAGAGCCCCACATCAGAGAGTGGCAGGCAAGGTGTCATGTGAAGCACTAGARTTTGGAGCAGTGCCAGCCTTCAGATCTCTTGTGTACAGACTTCCCAGCTAGGGAAGCCCATGGAGTTTGGGCTGGAGGGAGGGTCAGCAGGGAACTGCTAATGGTGACTGCCTTTCTTGCCTGCACCCAGATGAAGATGAATGCCTGAAGGATCCTTGTGCTGGAAAAGGGCATTGTATCAATAATGTGGGTTCCTATGTGTGCCTCTGCTACTCTGGGTACACCTTGATCATCTCGGAGAACAAGCAGACCTGCCAGGGTAAGTGCTTTGCCATCTAGCCCAGGGCTGCGGCTACCAGGGTGAAAAATAACCTTTGATGATGGGTGGAGGAGAGCCCTGGCATGGTGCGTCCCTGGGCAGAGCCTTCTGCAAGTGGAGCAGCTCTTCTCTTGAACTCAGCCCTTCTCACTGGAAGGGGAAGACTTCAGGGCTGTTTCCCTCTGTGTTGCCAGATCAGGATGAGTGTGACCAACCCTCCGCATGCCCCGGGCAGAAATGCATCAACACTCCTGGCTCATTCCACTGCAAGTGCAAGGAGGGCTTTGTCRTGAACCCCAGAGGACAGTGTGAAGGTGAAGCCTACTGTTCCCTCTCCTCCTCTCTCTGCAAACCAGAGCTGAATACCTCCTGCTGTCACTGCTTGCTTACTTCTCTTGGAAAAGAGGATGAATCCACATGTTCTTGCCTGTCTTGTGCCTCCTGTGATAGCCACTTTTCTGATAGTCTTGCCCTGCAGTAGAAACAGGCTTTTCCAGGCTGGGAGAGGACAGCTATCTTTAGATCCTCTCCCATTTTGCCACAGAGAATTCTGCAGCCTTTGCTGGCTTTGCAATCAGGGAGGAGATGGCTGTGTATTTTAGTGACWGTCACCATACCCCTGTGCTGCCAGTTCACTGAAGAGAGAGCAAGCTGCAGAGACTCAAGCCATGTGTCTCCAGAGCATCGCATTCACTTCAAGTGTCCTGGACCTTTCAGAGCGTTTGACCTAGTGACCATATGATCTACCTGATCAAATATCCCTCTTCTTCAGTAAATTTCTATMCAACAGAGTGTGGAAATGTATTTAAGGATACAGTAGAGAAATTAGAGTGTACACAGAATGCTGCTGTCCCCCACACAGCCAGTCTTTAAGGACTTCAGGACATCCTAATCTAGTTAAGGAAGTCCCTGGTGAAACAACCCAACACAGAGCTGATCCATCTCTGTTTGTAAGCATTTATCTTGACAGTGTCTTGAGGCAGTGAGTTGCAGTGTGGKATTATATCAGTCTTCAGGAGTAGGTGCAGGTTCCCAAATAGGAAGTGAGACTCTAACAAATGTTGCCCAATCCCTGACAAACTCAGAACCCTTGCCCTTGAGAAAGGAGACCTGAGGGGGAGGTTCCAGCTGCAGGGGACATTCTGGAGACACCTGTACGTCTTTTGGATCCTGAAAGGTGTGTGGTTTTTTTGGCAGATATCAATGAGTGCGTGGGGCCCAGCCCTTGCCCCAGTGGGAAGTGTATCAATACTCCAGGATCCTACAAGTGTGTCAGCTGTCCAGATGGTTATCGGCCCAGGAAYGGGAGATGCATTGGTGAGGAACACGAGTACTCTCAGCAAAGCACCCTGTGCCCCCATGGCTGTGCTGTGGCAAGCACAAGCAGAGATGAGGACAAGTGCCACAACCTTTGCTATGTCATGTAGATGTGGACGAGTGCCTTGTGGAGGGGACCTGTGCTCATGGACGCTGTGTCAACCTGGATGGCTCCTTCCGTTGTTCCTGCTACCAGGGCTATGAGGTGGCACTTGATGAGAAGAGCTGCCAAGGTACTGGGGAGCTCTTAGTTTAGACCCAGCACCCTTAGAAGTGTCATGTCCCCAATCCAGAGCTTTTCTTGGGCTCTTCTTAAATGCTTGGCTCTGCTGCTAATAATCAGTGCTGAGCCTTGGGCCCCAGTGTTGGCCTGTTCCCTCAGCACAGCTGCTCCTGGTCACTCTRTTCATGTTTTCCCTCTATCCTCCCCACCTATCCCAGTCTCACTTGTGTGCTTATGCAGACATCGACGAATGTACAGCCGTGTCTGCCTGTCCCTCTGGACTCTGCCTCAACACTGAGGGCTCCTACTCCTGCGTGACCTGCGATTCTGGCTACGCCGTCTCCAGCGATGGCAGCACGTGTGAAGGTATCTCTTTCCTATGGAGGAATGGGTGCTGGGACAATTCCCAGGAAAGGGAGGGACGCAGCCTCCCCCACCAATAACCCCAGAGGGGTTATTGGTGGGGCCTGAAGATTTTTACAGCTTCACCGTTCTTCTCTAGATGTTTACTGTCCAAGGGCTCTGCTGTGCCAGATATGTGTGGTAGAACTTTAATACAATGTGGATCTGTGTTGTTTGCACTGCTCAGACGTGAATGGGACCCATGTGAGAGAGTCCAGTGTTTCAGCCCTACAGCTTGACTGTCCCAGGACAGACAGGAAAAACTCCTCTCTTCCTGACTCTCACCCCCGGGGGATGTCCTGGGACATTGTTGGAGTTAGCTCAAGGCAGATTCCTTATTTTGGGCAAGGGAGAGATGAGGACAGAGCTGGCAAAGCTATTTGGTTAAAGATATTCTAATGGATGGAGAATTTCTTTCTAGAGAGCCACAGGACTCTGCAGCCGGCGCATAGGTGGCAGACATAGTCTTGGAGGAGTTTGCCTTTGCTGTGAATCTCTGAAGTTCCCCACTGCATAGAGACCTTCAGTAGGACAAGAAATAGAGCTTTTCCTCCCTCTCTTTTTCTTTTTATTGGTGCCTGAGAAATACACTGTGAAATGATGTCACTTTCCATCTGATTTTYAGGTGGGATGGAAAGAACATGCTTTCACAGACTTCCAGAATAGCAGGGCTTCCAGGGACCTCTAGAGATCATCTGGTCCACCTCTGGTCCAGCATCTGGTCCTGCTCAAGCAGGGTCAGCTAGGGCAGGTTGTCCAGGACCTTATCCAGCTGGGTTTTGAAAATCCCCGAGGATGGAGATTCCACAAGCTCTTTGGACAATCTATTCCAGTGTTCAACCATCTTCACAGTGAAGAAGCATTTTCTTGTGTTCAAGTGGAATTCCCTGTGTTTCACTTTGTGCTTGGATTTGGTCCCTTCTGTCTACCCTCCCCCTTTTCCAAGACTCCGTATGATCCCCTTCCCAGCCACCTTGCCCTGGTTGTGTCACGAGGGCTCATTATCAGGGTTTGGTGCTGTTCGGGTCACACTGACCCAATGGCAGGATGGCATGTTCTTCCCTTCCTCAGCTGGTGGCCTTGTCTCTGCATCTGGGTTTTGTATTTGAAGAATGATAAGGGTTTTGTGATAGTTTTGTGATAAACTAGGTCATGGTTCATTTCCAAAGAGATGCAAGAGCATCCCTGCTGCTTGCAAACCTTCAAAACCAAGCAGTTTGGTACTGTTTTGCCCTGAGGTGATAGGGAGCAGTGATCACTTATGATTTTAGCATGCTCGGTGCTCTGCAGAGGGGAAGAGAAGGTCCCTGCCTTGAGTGCCAGTCTCGGTGCTTTAGCTCCTGTTGGGAGAGAACGGTAGAATGGGACCTTGTCCACCAGCATGTGCTCTGCTTCCTGAGCTCCAGCTCTCCTTCCTTCCGCCTTGCACATGCTTTCTGAAAAGAAGAGCAAAGCCCTTTGAGGTACCTGTCCTACAGAAGGTGAAGCAAGGAACCCTGCTGCTTTGAAGCTGAGCATGGAGACTTGCCTTCTGCCCTTGCCCCCAGCCACATTCCCCATGGATTGTGCAGCCCTCTGTTAGAGGGAAGGCATCAACTCTGCCTTCTCCTGTGAGCAAAACCTTCAGAGTGTGAGCTCTGGCTAAGGCCTGGGGAAGCAGGGCTGAGAAGGTCTGCTGGCGGCCCTACTACAGGGGAAGAGCTGATGTAGGTCCCTGTTGTTGTACAGAGAGGCAACATAGGCAAGTCTGGCAGGTAGGAAAGCAGAGCCAGGGAAGGTGCAGCTGCTGCTGGGTTGAGGTCTGCTCTTGTGCAGTTGACTGAAGGAAAGGTTCGTGAGCAACCTCTGCACTGGGCTCTTGGTGGTCATGGCAGCCAGAGCAGAGCTCTGGTGGAGGTGGATGCTGGAACCAGCATCCTCCAAATTTGTCTGTGAATGCTGGGTGGGGTGGGGGTCTTTGCCAGCAGTGGCTGCATCTGGGGCCTCACTCTGTGCTGTGACATTCTGTTTGGGCAGATGTGGATGAGTGTGAAGATCCTGCCATTCAGTGTGTAGGAGGAGAGTGCAGGAACACTCCAGGCTCCTATGAGTGCCACTGCCAGACTGGCTTTGAGCTCATCAACAGCACCGTGTGTGAAGGTACAAGTGACATCCCTGTAACCCTCTGAGTACCTAAAATCCCCATGGATCTCCCTTTTCTCTCACCAGGAAAGATTTCAGTACCAAGTCAAGTCATGCCTCCATAATGGGCACATCCCTAGGGTGGCCAAACACAGGGATGTCAAGAATGGGGAAGAGACTTTTTTTTTTTTTCTCTCAATGGCAAGAAAGCCAGGGGCTTTGGGAGCCCTGGAGACCAGTCTCTAAAGGACTGTGGGGGAGGATCCACATGCCTTGGGTAGCAGATATTTCCCAGATCTGAGTGCAGGCTTTGATTCCCCTCTCGCTGCAGATGTGAATGAGTGCCTGAACAGTGAGATCTGCAGCCCCAATGGTGAGTGTCTCAACAGCCACGGATCCTACTTCTGCATTTGCGCTTCTGGCTTCTCAAGCACGGCTGGTGGAGTCAGCTGCCAAGGTGAGCTGGCAAGGGGCAGGAACATACCTCAGGTCCTGCCCTTTACCTCAGCCCCTGCTGCAAGAGCCAAATGACTTAAATGACTTTTTTTTCCCCTGTTCTTGCAGATGTGGATGAATGCGCAGACAAGTCCCGGTGCTTGCAAGGCCAGTGCCTGAACACAGAAGGCTCCTACAGGTGTCTGTGTGAGAATGGGTTCAAGCACTCCCAGGAGACTGATGACTGCATAGGTGAGAGCTCATCCTGGGGGAGATCAGACCCCTGAGACACAGAGGGAAGGATGTAACCTCTGGCTGGTGCAGGGATGGAGCACCCTGGTTCCCATGTCCAAAGTTACTGATGACTTCTAAGGAAGTGTAGCTCAGGTTTACAGCAAACTGAATCTGGTTGAGGCTCTGCAGTGAGCTAGCAGGGTCCCTGTTTGACTGCCCTTGTCCCTTTGCCCTCTTTCTGAACCTCTTGGCGCTGGCCTTCAGACGTGGATGAGTGTAAAGAATACGGGGATGCCATCTGTGGTGCGTGGAGGTGCCAGAACAGCCTGGGCTCCTACCGTTGTATCATGGGCTGCCAGCCTGGTTTCCACTGGACCCCTCTGGGTGACTGCATTGGTGAGTACAGCTCTGAGTGTCCCTGTCCCTCCCTCTGGCAAGGTGGCTGCGGGACATCTCTGCCAGGGGTGTGGGGGGAAGAGACAGATGAGGAAGCGTGAGGCCAGTGGGGAGACAGATAATGCTGAGAGCTTGTTTTCCTGGCTGAGCTGCCTGCTTGTGTCTAGACTTCTCTCTTCCTGGCATCTGGAACAGACACAGCATTGTGTTGCTTTCCCTCTCAGGGAGAGTCCTGGGCAGGTTACAGCCTTTCCAGGGCTAGGACTGGACTGCAGCCCCCCCAGTAAGCTGTGCTTGCTGCATCTACTGCCTGTGCCAGTCACTTGGCAGGGGTGGGTGAGGGCAAACGCTGCTGGTGCCACGTATGTTAGGTTTGGGGGTCTGTTTTGGGAGCTCAGGCCCCAGCCCCAAGCAGAGGGAGAAGAGCAAAAAGGGATACAGTTTTAAGGGTCCCTGTGCCTCAGAAAAAGGCTGTGGTGAGGAGGAACAGCTGCCAACCACCGGCCTCAAGGCTGTGTCAGCACTTGGAGCACATGGAGCTGCTCCTGGCTTTGGGAGCAACGGGCTGTTGCTCCCAAACAGGCAGGCAGCTGTTCTGGCTGCTCCAGGGACTCCTCCCTGATACAGCAGCAGGAGGGGAGCAAGGTGCAGCCAGAGGATTCAGTCACAGCAGTTCAGTCCTCTGGGCTGGAGCAAGGCAGAGATCCGTCCCTGGTTTTGTGSCATGGGGAGAAGGACCCAGGTCAGCATGGTCAAAGGCAAGAGGGAAACATCCTAGATCTACCTGCTCATCCTCACCCCTCTGCAATTGCCCTGCATGCTCAGTATATCCTTGTATCTCCTGCTGATATAGGTCTGTGGGAATCAGGCTGTGTGTCCCATTACACCTCTGTAAGGACCTCTGCTATTCTCGGGTGCCACTGCCAGTAACCTCCTCCACTTCCATCTGCTGTTCCCACTCTGATCTGACCCATCTGGCCTGTCTGCAGCTCTGGGTGTTGCGGACAGGCCCAATCCCTCACACCAACATAATGCCTACCCTGCTCCCTGTGCCTCGGGGTGAGAGCAGAAGTGGACGGACTGGAGAAGTCCCTTGGAAGAGATGATTTCTAGGATGATTCCTGCTCTCCCCTCTTCTGCAGACATAGATGAGTGCGCCAATGAGACGCTGTGTGGGAGCCATGGCTTCTGTGAGAACTCGGATGGCTCCTTCCGCTGCCTCTGTGACCGTGGCTACGAGAGCTCACCCTCCGGGCACTACTGCGTTGGTGAGAGGCACTTGCTCGGGCTCCTGTCCCCYGTGATTGCTCTAGGGAGCAGCGAGGACAAGCCTTTGGCAGATGCTTGGCCAGTGTGGATCAGCTCCACAGCCCTCAGAGAGCAGTGCCTCCGATGTGTAACTGTTCCCAAGACACGGGCAGGGACTGTAGCCAGGCATGGAGAATCCCAGACACAAACAAGGCAGTCCTTGTCTCATCCATCTCCCATAACACACCAGACCATTAGGGCTGTGAAGGAGTGGGGCCCAATGAAAGAGCAAGTGGTCTTCATGTTAATATTGAGCCTGTTTCTGTGCAGGTGAAAGGAGGCTGCTTGGGCCTGAAGACTCCAAAGGGGTTAGATCTTTTAATGATCCCTAGGGAGAATGGGCGGGACTGAATATAATGAAAACCTTTTTCACCATGAAGACAGTCAAACCATGGAAATGATGTCTAGAGAGGTTGTGCAATCTACATCATTGATGATTTTCAAGGCCTAACTGGGCAAAGTCCTGAACCTGATTTGATGTCATAGATGACCCTGCTAGGAGGTTGGTCTAGAGACTTAGAGGTATCCCTTCCAACCTGAATCATCCTATGATCCTATGACTCAGAGCAGCTAGAGCTCAGGTGCTCTGCATCCCTTACGAGCAGAGCAAGATGCGCGTGCCAGTCTTGTATCTAGACACAGTGTTAACAGAGCTGCCAGCTCTTCCCCAAATGGGGTCCATCTCCATGTTGATGGGTGGCCTGATGCTGCAGACCGTATAGAGACTCCCCACTGAGACCCTGTTCCCCAGTGCACAGAGCAGCCCTGCTGTGCACTCTTGTTCCCCGAGCAGATACCCATCACTGCCTCTTGCTTTGCAGATGTGAATGAGTGTGAGCTGATGGTCGCTGTGTGTGGGACTGCGCTCTGCGAGAACGTGGAGGGCTCGTTCCTGTGCCTGTGCCCCAGTGACCATGAAGAGTACAACACAGAGGCTGGAGAGTGCCAGCCACGAGCAGCCATGGGTGAGATACAGCTATGGCAGGAGCGAGGCAGCCCTGGCTGGAGAGAGGTGCATCTGGGGAGGTCACCAGGAGCTGCCTGGGCTGTACAAGCCGCTCAATCATGGGTCACCTTTTGTCTGGGAAGAGCTGAGGAGCCAAGGAGATGGAGATCGGGGAAGGCAACGTTGCCAGTGATGGTTCTGCTCTGGGACCTCTTGGCTATAGGGCGTTGCAGTGGGATACTGAAAACATCATCCCGTCCCTAATCTGCTGTGTTCCAGAGGGCCCCGAGAGACGCACGGTGCATGTCCCTGGCAGCCTGGAGCGCAAGCAGTGTTACTACCACATCAGTGATGTTAGCCTGTGTGACAGTGTCCTCGCCAAGAACATCACCAAAGAAGAGTGCTGCTGTACTGTGGGGGCGGCCTGGGGGGACAACTGTGAGACCTACCCCTGCCCCATCTTGGGCACAGGTAGGATTGTGGCCTCAGCGCTCCCTTTCCAAGCCCAGGTGGGATCAGTGCTCGGCCCACCAGCTCCCAGTTTGGTTGCACTAATGATCTCTGTGTTTTCTCCCATGTCCCCTTGGCATCTGCCTCCTGGCCAGTGGAGTACGAAGAGATCTGCCCTCTTGGGAAGGGTTATGTTCCCCAGAAAGACTTGTTCTCTGGAGAAGTCTCTTTCACAGGTACTAGCATTGTTTTCTCTTCTTTCTTCCAGAGAATAGAGTGATGGAAGTGGGGAAGGCTGCAAGGAGATGGATGCAAAGAACTGTCTCCCCTGGGTGGTGGTAGGGAAAGCCAATGTCCTGCTCAAAAAAATGGCTACTTCCCTCTATCCAAAAAAATCAGATTCTCAGTGTCATCGAGTCATTAGTGCCTCTTCTGCCGGTCTTGCCTCACTGCTGGCAGGGATTCTTTCTYGGTAGAACTCTCCTGTGCATGTTTCAAATGAGGGCTGGGATCCAGTAAGACATACAGCCCTTCCAGTTGCTGAGCCGAATCCCCCATGGGGGATGGAGGACATCAGGACACTTCACTTCCAAGGATTTTGTTCTTGACAAAATATGTTTGAAAGTCCTGTTCGTGGAATGCCCAAAGAGATCCCCTGTCATCTCTTCTCACACTCTGCTAGTGGGCGCTTCCTCATTTGCTTGCAAGCGTAAGGCAGGTGGAAGAGGAGGAGGGCTCACTTTGAGGGTCTACTGGTAGTCCAGGCTAAAATGCCTTGCAAGCTTTTTCAGGCACAGAGTCCAGCATGGCTTGCTTCCATGACTCTGGTCCCTGAGACGCTGTCTCTCTCCATCTCTTTCTCAGATATGGATGAATGTGAAATATTCGGCTCCGAATTCTGCCGCAACGGACAGTGTTTGAACACGGTGCCAGGCTACAAGTGCTTCTGCCGTACAGGCTACTTCTATGACTCTGGCAGGCTTGAGTGTGTTGGTAAGATGGTCCTAAAGAGCAGAAGGGGCCCGTGCTGTGTGAGCAGTGCTGCTGCATTCTTTGTTGTCCCTGCYGTCTGTGTTATAGGGTCAGGTCTGGCTAACTGGAACCTTCCTAGGGGAATGGGGGAAGAAGTGGCAGAGACCCCCAGGGCAGAGGTGAGCCCTTCTTCTTGCCCGTGCTTGCCAGCCTGAAAATTTGCTCTGTGCTTGTGCCTTGGCAGATCAGGACGAGTGTCAGAATGAAGTGTACTGCATCAATGGCGAGTGTTTGAACACAGTCGGCTCCTACCACTGCTTCTGCAGCCTCCCCCTTGTGCTGGATGCAACCGGCAATCGCTGCGTGAACCTCTCTAGCAGGGCAGGTAGGACTGCACCCAGGTACCAACCTGCCTTGGCGCCTGACATCTCACCCTGCAGCTGAGCACCTGCAGAGACGTCACTAGCCCTAGAGGCTGCTGGTGAGGGGTTGGGGCTCAGTGCCAGGCTGAAGGATTTGAGCACCGGGCCCAGTCTGAAGGCCAGGACAGGCCGGGCAGGATACGGGTCACATGCTTGTCTCTCTCTAGATGTGTGAGATTGCACCTTCCTTGCACCTTGCAGCATCTTTGGCTTGTGTCACTCTCAGATGGCCTGGACGAGTACGAAATCCACTTGGACGTGTGCTGGCAGACGGTCTCCGACTACATCTGCCAAGACCTGCTGCACGGGGAGCAGACCACGTACACGGAATGCTGCTGCCGCCTTGGTGAAGCCTGGGGTCAGAACTGCGCGCTCTGCCCGCACAGGTCCTCTGGTGAGCGTGCTCGGGCACCGGCCGTCAGCCCCAGGGCAGAGGTGGGGACAGGCTGGGCCAGCCGTGGCCGGCCATGTACGGCTGCAGCTCTCTGTGGCTCCTCTCATTTTCCTCATTGCCAGAGTTGTCCCGGGGGCAGAGGTGCAATAGWGGGGTGGGATACGGCTGAAAGCTGAGTCACAGGTGTTTGAGAGGGGGGTGGCTCTGTGCTCCCTACAGCTCCTCTTCAGGTTGCACAAAGCCCAGTCCTGCTCAGTTTAGGAGCAGTGCAGCAACGCCTGGAGGGTGTGGGACATGAGCACTCTGGGAGTCTGGGTTCCCTGTTCAAGGGCTCCCTGGCCCCAGACAGTAGCTGGTCTCCTCAGAGACAGAGACCCATAAGCTACAGAGATGGAGCTCTGGAGTCCTCTCCTACTGAATGCAGGCCTGGCTTTGCTGGCCTCGTGTGGRGGTACCCTTGCCAGCTGTACCCTCTACCTCTCTGGAGCCAGGCTATGCTAACCCTTTTCTCTTGCTGTTTGTAGCGGATTTTTCTTTCCTGTGTAACGGGGCCAGTGAAGACAGTGAGAGAGAGGCCGATCTCCGAGAAAGGCCTAGGTACGAGTATGGACCGAGCCTGGAAGATTCCCACTATGGCCTTACCAGTCCAGATATGGGACCCTATTACAACTACCTGGAGTCTGAGTATGCAAATCCTGATGCCGGTTTCCCTCGGAGAGAACCCAGCAGTGAGTTTCGTGGCAGCCCTTTTCACCATGGCCCAGTGCAGCCCCTGCCACGCTACGTGCCCAGCCAAACTGGTGAGTACTGGCAGACACAGAGAGCTCCTTCCAGCCCAGCACATGTCCATGGAACTGCCTGGCAGGTGCCACCCCAACAAGGCGCTCCCGCTTTGGAGCGACCTCTCTCTGCCTGCTGTGCTTTCAGCTGCCCTGAGTTTGTTTTAGCCTCCGCAGCACCATCCCACCACCTGCCTGACATCCCCTCTGCGGGCTGGAGGAAGGTCACCCCGCTCTGACATCCCCTTGACACCCCACAGGCCGCTATGAGGGCTTCGAGGGGCTGCAGGCTGAGGAGTGTGGGATTCTCAATGGCTGCGAGAACGGCCGCTGTGTGCGCGTCCGGGAGGGCTACACCTGTGACTGCTTCGATGGCTTCCAGCTGGACATGACCCGCATGGCCTGCGTGGGTGAGTTGCTGCAGAGCCTCTGGGGCCCAGAGCGGGTGCAGGGCCTTCCCGACTCCCTTCTCCCTTCAACTGGGGCTCTGCAAGGCAACAGGGCCTTGGCATCCCTTAGCTGCTGCCGCTCTCTGCTGGTGTTAGCTGGGACGGTTGTCAGAGGATCCAGAAAAAGTATTCCCCACTTTCCTGGCGCCTCATTCCCTTGGAGCTGGGAAGAGCTTCCTAGTATTTCATCCTAGCTCTTTGTTGCTGGCAGCTAGATCAGTGCATCTTAGTGCCATAGTGAGCACGGGGAGCAGCTGATCACACTCTGCTTCATATAATTTGCTTCATATAATTTCCATAATTAATAGTGACCGGCCACTGTTACTATATCCCTGCATACTCCTCTCCAAATTCACCACTGCTTTGCACCGTGCCCTATAAGCTACGGCCTCTAAAGCTTCCATATTGATCTCCTCTCCCTCCCTGCATCGTGTCTCCAGCCCTCGCACAATGCGGCTCCTCCAGACAGCCRGGCCCTGGGGACTCAGCAAGGTGGACAGAGACTCTCCTTCCTTAGCCATGGCCCTTCCTGCAGCTCCCAGCATCCCTTCGTTGTGTGACACAATCATGCAAGTAATTCTTACAAAAGCTGTGGCCCCTACTTCCCCAAATGCTGCTGGGCAAACAGCTTCCTAACCCTTTATTCCTCATTCTGCATTTGGGCACCCTCTTTCTTTTTCCACAGTGCTTCATAGTTGTCTTTACCAAATTTTATCTGGTTGATTTTTTTGGACTACTTCTGCTCCTTATCAGAGGAAACCTGAACTCTGGGCCTCCTCTCTGGAGTATTTACAATTTGAGATAACCACCATGATTTTATAGGCACGCAGACTCTTCCTTGTCAATGTTAATGCCAATATTGAAAGGAGTAGGRGTCTGGACAGACCCCTGCAGACTCTACTGTAAATGACCTTTATCTGAGCAGCCAACTCTTGCTAATTTGAGTGCAGCTTTGCGGCCCTTTGTGCAATCTAGACCATGTTTTCTTACTCTTCTTTAGAGGGTCATGTGAGAGTGTTGAAATCCTTACCATGGCCAAGACATATCACACCCGCTTGTTCTCTGTTATCTGAGAGGCTAGTTATCAGGTCGATGAATTGAAGCAGCTTGTTTTAACATAATCAGGCCTTAGCAGATCCTCACTGGCTGCTTAATGACCTCAGTATCCTTTGGAGGGGAGTTTTGACCTAGTCACTCAGTGATTAGGTGCTGCAGCGAGTAAGGGTGAGTGCTCTGTAATTCTGGATTCTTCTTTTTGAAGAAAGCTATTCYTGTCACCCTTCCTCATGTCTCTGGGATCTCCTTTATCCTCCATCTCAGAGGAAACCATAACTTCTCGGGAACCATTGGAGCATTCAGTACTTGAAGATGAGTTTCAACAGGTCTTCAACGATATGAATGCAACTCTTCTACATAACTAGTTCTTGAACCTACCCCTCACAATGTTCCTATGCCCTTGTACCCTTATTTAAACTTAAAACATGGTCTACACTATATCTGGTCCCAATGAACATTTTATGGCTGGAACAACGTTTTGGCTGGAACGAAGCCTGTGTTAGCTCTGCTATCTGGCTCAGCATTGTCTGGCTTTTGTTTCCTCCTCCGATAAGGAGCAGACCTACGTTTTTCCATTGTTTCCTGCTAATGTATTTATAGAGCCTTTTCTTTTGACTTTTATGTCCTCTCCTAACTTACAGCCATTTTATACCGGAATAATTCTCCTTTTTTCTCTTTGGTTCCTCTACAATGGTGCTTACTCACGCGCCTCGCTGCCTTCAGGACTTCAAAGCACTTCTGCTGCTGCTGTCTCTCTTCTTGCCCTTGTCTGTAAGCGTGGGCTGGATCCCCCCAGCTCCTCTGTCCTCGAGGCAATATGGCTATCCCATATACTGGGGATATACATATCCCCTGGGACACTGAAAGCCACTGCCCTGTTCAAGAGATCAGGCTCACTAGCATGGAGCCACACGCTGCTAACAGCTCTACTGTTTCTGACTTTCCCGATGCTTTTGCTTGTTGTAGTCCTCTTCCTGATTTGGTGGTCCATGGCCAACCCTGCCATAGCATCCTGGCCGCTCTTTCCCGTTTTATATTACCTTGGAGACACCAACAAGGCTGCTTCGTACCCCTTTGTAGCCAGCAGAGCCCCCCTGGACAGCACTTCATGACAACCTTGCTATGTTGGGGTCTGCTCTTTAGTTTGCTCCCTAACATCCTTTCCTGCATGGGCTTCTAAGCAAACCTGTTGTCTCTGTGCTGATGTTCTCGTGCTGCCGTTTATCACAAGGCTGCCAGTTCAGGCATCCCTTTGGTTGATGTGAATCAACCAAACTCACAGAATCTGACATCTCAGATTTCCTCTTTCTATTTCTTATCCCTCGTGCACCTGCTCTAATTCCTCATGCTACACCTGCAGGCTTTGCTTCAGACTTTCATTCCCGGAGCTGTGCTTCCCTCTCTTGCACAGGTGCCCCCATCTGTGCAGAACCCCAGTCATGCTAAGGTGACCTAAGGCCTCTGGGGTGTGCAGGTCTGTTCAGGCTCCTGATGGCTGTCTCTGCTCAGTCTTTTGCTCTCACTTGGGTGTCCCTCCTCCCTTCACTCTCCCTCCCTGGAGTCACTGCCAGTCTGTTCAGGGTGAGGCTGAAGTTTACGGTCAGATGAGAATTTGGGGGGTGAGCAGGCATTTAAAGGTCCTATAGTTGCAAACAAGGGCTCTGAGACAGACAGGAACCATCTTCCCAGCTGGTGGCCTCTCCACACGTCAAAGTAGTTTAGGGACTGTCCTGAGAGCTGCCTTTAGCAGAGCTCATGTGCAGCTGCTGCAGCTGCATGTGGGGCTCCCCGCCGTGAACAGCTGGCCCAGCGGCGGAGCGGCTGGAGGAGCACTTTGGCACAGTTTGCAGGTTAATAAAACAACCCCTTGTTTGCAAAGCGCAAGGTTCCTTTGTGTTCTGGTCCTGGAGGTGATAATCAGCCTCTCAGGGTCACTGTCATGTGCCTCCTCCAGCCTTTAAGATCAGGAAAGGGCATTTTCCAAGGCTGGAGTTGGCCTTTCTCCCAGATCTTATGCTGTAGGACAACTTGTTAACAGAGCAGAGGGAGCTCKTGTGTTCCTTTGGGCGATCTCCAGCTCCATATCATGCTGGTGGGCACCTTATCTGGGGTGACTTGCTGAGGGGGTTGAAGGGGAGGCTCTTTCTTATGCTGGGAGTGCCAAATGCTGGGGATATCACCCAGTGGGGAAGGGGGCTGAGGCARCCCTGGAGCACAGCTAAACAGGGTAGTGGGACGGGAGTGGGGAGGGGGTGCAGTGTGGCGTGATGGGTCCGGGAGGCTGAGGGGTCGTGGTGGCAGCCGGGGGGTGCTGGAAGAGCACAGAGGCCTGGGGGGAGGCTGTGGAATTGGCAGCAGCGCCGGCAGATGTTGGCTGCTCGCTGCGTGGGGAGCGGGGCATCCTCGTGCGAGCAGCTCACAGCCCCTCCCCTTGCAGACATCAATGAGTGCGAGGAGGTGAGCGGCGCCGAGCCCCTGTGCCGGGGCGGCACGTGCGAGAACACGGAAGGCTCCTACGGCTGCCGCTGCCTGCCGGGCTACGTGGCCCTGGCGCAGCCCCACCACTGCGTGCCGCAGACAGCGCCGAGGCCGGCGGCAGCGTAGCCCTGCGAGAGCCGCWGGTGAGGGTGCTCCCCTGGGCACTCTGCTCGCGGACCTGGGACCTGGCAGCACGGAGAAAGGCCCCTAGGGCTCCGGGTATTTCAAGGCCCTTCGCTCTTTCCCCTCCAAAGCACAGAGCTTCTCTGCCACGTGCCTCCCAGCAGTGCCTGCATGTGGGCAGGCCAGGGCTGAGCGCCGAGCCTCTGCAGCCCCAGTCCCTCCTGGCCTCATGCCAGCCCCTGCTTCTGCCACAGCAGAGCCCCCAGCCTCCCTTTGCTTGCCCCAGCTGCCCCGGCAGAGGCCTGCAGGCACCTTCCCCTGCCGCACAGACCCTGTCTGCTCCGCTCCCTGCACAGAGAAATCTGGTTCATTCCCCCCAAAGTGAGCACCTCTGCTGCACTGACCTCGCCACAAGCCTGCCCCCCGCCACGGGTGCTCACCCCCCACCCACCACCACCACCACCCTGCCCCAGGCCAGAGTGCTGTGGGGGGCAGCCCCAGCTTCCTAAAGCCGCTGCCTAACACGGAGACGGGGTCTGAAGGCTGCCGGGTCCCCAGGCCACCTCTCTCTGCAGCCATTCCCGGCACATCTTTACCCTTGCACTTTGCCTTCGTGCCTTGTGCTGTCCGAGTCGGGGGGAGGGAGGGCAGTTCCAGCTTAGTTTCTGTAAAGTTGTTGGAGACTTTTTTTTTTAAAGCGAGTCTGCTGGGAACTTCAGTCATGTTGTTAAATAAAACTTTTATTTTGGGCCCTGTGGCTCAAGACACTGGGGCTGGTCAGAACTGTGTCTGCCTTCTGTCTGCCAAGTGGAAATGCCTCATGGTGCAAGAGCCACGGCCTCTCAGGARGGCCAGTCTGGCAAGGCCCATTCATCACTGCAAACTCATTCCGGCCCCTCTCACGCTGACAACTCGTCTCCTCTTGCTTATGGATGAGAGTATTTGCCAGGCCAAATACTTGCTTAGCTCCCCCAGGCCCGTGCCCGCTGCAGGAGCCAACTGCAGCCCGTGCAGACCTGTAGCACATATGGCCTCGTCGGAGCCTGCCTCACGCGCGTGCAAGGCTGGTGCGGGTTAAGCGTTAGTCTCCATATTCCCCCAGTTGGCAAGAGTGCTTGAGAAGGTTTGGGAGCAGCTTTACAGGTGTCTGGAGCTCTTGCTGGGAGACTGACCCTTATCTGTGCAGCAAGGCACTGTCAAAAATAATCATGGCTTTGGAGAGCTCCTGCATTGCTTCAGGTTAGCACGGGATGAGCAGGGCAGGAGCAGAGGCAGACATTGCCCCCCTGTCAGCAGTAAACAGAGGTATGAGCTGCACACAGGGCACCCACACCGAGGCTAGGATGCTCCAGGGAAAGCAGGACCATCATCCATGTCTTGAACTGAGAAGTAAGAGCAGCCTGACCCCAACATGAAGATGTATAGTCTCCACTTCTCCTCCCCTCTCCACTCACAGAGGACAACTTAGGCAGGTTTTGTTTAGCCTTTATTAAAAGGAAAGCTATAAAAATAGGTTACGGAGCCCCCAGCAGCTCCAAGTTAGTAAGTAGTGCAAACCATTGGTTAGAGAAAGAATCATCCCTGCAGAGACACCAAATGCCATTTGGCTTTGCATCCACCAAAAGAAAGGTTTCCCAGCCGCAKATCTGCCGGCTCCAGCAGCGCCCAGAACAGACAAGGCTGCCAGCTCAGGGGAAGCCTCCTCTTCTTCCCTGTCCTTCAGCGGTGTGGATGGTAGACACATGTCCCAGGARCACTCTGGTCACCACAGAGCAGGAGAACTGGAGGATGGACGCAGCCAGCATTCTACAAGAGGCACTGAAGGGTTACCRGGTCGTAGCAGCTCAGATACTAGCCAGTTTCATTGCAGAGAGAAATTCCATTTGTGAGGGGAAGAGAGCTTCGTTTCAAGCAACTAAAGCACTTCCACAGAGCACATGGAGAACAATGCTCTAATATTCAGTCACACCTGCCAAGAGCAGCAGACTCTGCTCCCCCAAATTGTTGTCAGAATACCCCAGAGGACTCTCAACTGGGGTAAGAGCCCTCTGCCCACCGCTGACCTTGCAGGAATACAGTAGTGGCTGCTCCRAGGCTGTAGAGCTCTCAAGGAAGCAGTAAGAAATGCTTATTATATAAAAGAATTTGGTCTGTGTCATCTTCTCTCTGTTTCTCCCCTCCCCGAGCCCTGCTAGCTAGGGCTTCTCAGCTGGTGATCTGCACCGGTATCTTCCAACAGAACAGCATCTGGTCTTGATCATCTACTAGKACCCACTTCACAATCAGCTTAATCTGGAAGAGAGAGAAAAGAGAACGGAGAAGTGAATGTGTTCGGAAAGGGAAGGGCACAGGGTGGCGCTGCWTGGTTTGTGGAACAAGGAAGAGGCTTTAGGAGCTCTGGGCAGACAGCTGCCTCAGCTGCAGTAGGTGGGTCACACACGTGTGCAGCAATTCTGGAGTATCTTACATGCACAGAGAGATCTGCAGTGCAACACAGGAGACTCGCACAGTGTGCACCAAGGCCCCACTCTCTGAGTAATCAGAGAGGGAAGCAACTTGCAGCCTCGCAGCTGAACTGTGTCCTGAGGCCAAACACACCCAAACCCGAGTGCTTAGCTGGACATGGCAGGTTCTGCAGAGGCAACATCCAGGCAGAGTATGAAAGTGCGGGATGCTTGGGCAGCTGAACAGCTTCCCTGCAGCTGAACCCAGGCTGCTTCTGCTGGGTCTGTCCCAAAGCAGGAACTGGAGATGGAGCTACGGTCACAGCAGAAGTGACACAGGGAAGTCCGAGAGTCCTTCTAGCCTCTTCCCCGTTGCCACAAGACAAGGGCTCCTTCCTTGTGGAAGCAGCTGCGGGACTGTCCCGGGAAGGACGGTAGCCCGGCGGAGCTGACCAGCCTCTGCCTTACTTACACTGGGGTACTCGCTCTTCACGGGGAGTTTGTTCAGGTAGCTGTAGGAATGGCCCTTCTGAATGGGGCACTGGATCCCAGACTTGCATCCGTCAGGTTCAGGAATGGGAAAGGGTATGTCCACATGCAGCATCTCCCCATACACCTTTGCTTGGCTGCCCTGGCTCTCGATTTCTGCAGGATATGGAGAAGCAAGAGTGACACTAGAGCAGGGAAATCATTTCCACATTCTCATGCCCTCAGCCATGTCCCGGGGCTTGCCTGGATGTGGCAGGGAAAGCAGGAAAGCAGAGCAGCGTCGCTCTGCCTCCTCCTCCAGCTACTTCTCTGCTGCTTCTTGCCATCCAGAGCCCTGGCCAGCCCGATCCTTCCCCCATCCTCCCCAAACACCCGGACTCGGGTACAGAGGCTGCCCCGTCCCTCCTCACAGGGCGGCACAAAACCCGCTACCCCACCAGCGCTACGGGAGCTCCTCCTTACTGCTGGAGAAGGTAACGTTGATGCTGTAGGATGTCCCCTTGTGGAGCTGGCACGGCTGCGTGGGACACGGGCTCACGTTCACCTCTTGGATGCTTCCATCTTTGGAACCTGCAAGGAGGAGCAGAGACTTCTCGCGTCGGGGCCTTCCCCGGCAGCGAGAGCGGGTCCCAGAGGCGGGACGCGGCCAGGCCCGGCGCTCAGAGAGGCAGCCCGGAGGCGCCGGGGCTCCGCTCGGCGGCCGCGGCGGCAGGAGCGCTGCCCCGGGCCCCGCAGCCCCCGC